TTCAAACCACTAACAGCACTGAGAAATAAGGCAGCCGCATTGAATCAGTTAGCATAATAGCTGTAATTCTATTTCCGGATCTCCTGGAACTCACCCGCAATAGAAGGTGTTCCTCTGTAATACAATTTCAAAGTTTTTTTTTTATATTCTTTCCCTTTTATCCCTTTCCTGTGTTACACCATCACTGAGGGAACCTTTTCTATATTCAGCAGCTAATATTCCTGGGTATCAAAATAAAAATATTACTCAGCAAACAAATTTTAAAATGTATGATTAATTACATCTATCTATCTGTCTGTCTGTCTGCCTGTCTGTCTGTCTGTCTGCCTGTCTGACTGTCTGATTATTATTATTAATATTATTATTATTAATCACACAGATTCATGTTCCCATTGACCTCAGTTAGCCCCATTGTAATGATGACCCTGCATGTGGTTCAGAAAATGTTTATCATCATTTCACATTTCAAAGCTCTGGCTGTACCCACACTGCGAGGAAATGAGCATCTCTGACTTTGCAATAGACCCTTGGTCACATCACTGAATGGGCTGCCAGACACATCCCATATGGGCAATGGGGAGTCAAGAGTTTCGGTCCAGGAGTAAACAACGCTCTTTTGACGAGACTTATATTCACGGTGTCCCGACAGATGAAAAACAACAGATATCGACTGTAGCTTTTACATGATGGAACGAAATTGGCTCAGTGTTTTAAAATGAAAGCCCGAGCGATCCCCAGGCTGCAGTAGACAAACACAGACAAGAAACAAAGCTTCTTTTTTTATATCTGGTATTTCTCCCCACCTCTGCTCAGCAGTGGTTGTATGAAGGAACCCCCCCCCACACACACACACACACACACACACACCCTTAGCGAAAACACGCACAAACACACACACGTGACAAGCTCCATGTTTCCTGCACATCCCGATACTGTCACACTCCGTCTCACCACTTCCCAGTGTCATGTTCCTCACCAGTCACTGCCAGTTTGCCAATTATACAAGCTGCTTCCCAGACACCCAGTTGAAAAAAAAAAATTCTACAGGACTGCTGTGCAAGCTTACCCTAATTAACCGTCAGCTTAATTAGACAATTTACTGTTTAATTAGCAGGCAATTAGTCAACACCTCTCAGATCCTACTGACTGCTTTGACAGCCCTGTTTTCTACATAGATTTGGGAGGGGGGGGAAAACATCACCTGTAATGATGTTAGTTAAATTTTGGAGTGTAAAATCAGCTGCTGAACACTAATAATTAGACGTATAGTATGGCAGGAGACAGACAGGTTGGGTTTTAATGAAAGAGTCCACAGTGCCTTGCTTTACTCCCCCTTGACACTAGAGCAAACCGCACGATAAACCGGTCGTGTCAATCGTAAACTCTTCGCAAACCCTTCGGAAGAAGAGATCTCGGAGACAGATCGTATTTGACTGTAAGCAGTTTCTCACGGCTTTCAAACATTTCTGTCCGAAGGAAGGGTAGTGACTCATATCAGCTGTAGAAAATGATTCTAAATAAATGAAAAAATGAGCTGTTTTTGTGTGCGTGTCTATAATATATAAATATATGTCAGTCACTACTAATGGAATCATTGGTCTAATGCCTCTGACAGGTGCATACATTAAACGCATACTTCACCTTCGTCTTTGCAGGGTTCTGAACAGTGCAAAGGAACATCAAAACAAGACAAAGAGACAAGAGTTCCACTCTTAACGACCTATTCCAGGCATCGAATCATAAAGAATTAAGATGGATACCCAACAACAGTGATACCTGGCTTTCCATAGGTCAGGAACACAATGAGTACACGTCAGAAGTCACAGTACTTTACTCATCCCATTCACTTCTGCCACCGTTGCTTAATAACTAAATGCATTTCCGGATTACACCACTATGAAAATAAACTTGGAATCCGCATTACAACACGGTAAATACCACATATTGACTGACACCTGCATCATGCATGAGCTTGGCATGGCATCTGTACACAGGAGATCACTCGGCTTGACAATCTCAAAAGTCATCACCTCTGTCACCTTCGTGTGACGCTTCAGTCACCGGAGGCCAGATTTACCAACTTCTCCGGACGCACAGCAGGATGAGACATGTTACTCCTGTGATGGACTCAGAATCAGAATCATTTTTCATGACCACAGGTGGAATTTGCTTTCATTACTACAAGGTAGGTAAGCTGAAATCAACATTCCGGAAACTTTGCGGAAGCTCCACAAGTTTGGCAGAATTTTTATGGTTCACACATTCTTGAATTTCTCTGCATCATTATAAGGATTCAGGGGCATATGGCACACACAGAAATATGCACAGTGTTACAGGTTTAATTGTTGAGAATCCATAGAAACTCAAGATGGCATGAAAGACCAACCTCCACATTTACCATTTAATAATATCTCAGTTCACCACGCTCTCCGTTGTACCTGACAGGTCATCAAGCTTTGTAGGGATGAATACCTGAAAAGGACAATTACACTGAACTGCCTATTGGGTTATATAAAGAGTCCCTATTGCTTATGTCGGTTATTAACAGTTACAGGTGTAATCCCTGAGCCTGGCACTTCCCATACGGTGAGCTGCAGCTCTTCCTTAGGTAGCCACATGGTCCAGTGATCTATCTCACTTTGATCAGTTAAAGGGCTAATTGGGCCCCTGTGGTCCATCCATCAAAGATTAGCCGCCTCTCCAGCTTCCGTGTGCCACACCGAAATAGATCTTTGGGGATTATAATTAACAAGGGATGGTCTAAATCAGAGACGCAGCCTTCCGATATTTGATGTGATGTGACCAGAAATACAAGGTCTTGGATATTTTAGAGGTAACAAAGCTAAACATTTACAGAGAAGCATGCCTTCATACTTAATACCAGCATAGCTTGCAGGTTTAACCTTTCAGAGATTCTTCTCCACTATGAGTTAATGACAGATTCAATACACAGCTTTTCCCCTGATACATCTGAAATAGTATCAATGCCGCACTATGGTAATGCCTAGATAGGAGAGTGATACCAAGGAACAGGATATTAAAAAAGAAGTCCCTCATGTTTAAGTTTAATGATAGCACAGAGCTGCCTATTCACTCATATTGACATTAAGAACTTCTTTATCTTACTCCCAAAAGAAAGCACAGCGCAATCTTCCACACAGGGCATACAATAAAGAATAATGCGACTTCTGTTTACTGTGATATCAGCTGGTATTTCGCCACACGCTGACAGCCAATAGATGCAACAGTGTAAGGGACCTTAATCTGACGTCTACAAATGTCAGAGGTAGAGGGAGGAGGACAGGAGCTGGGCTAGATGCAATACTCATAAAAAAGCAACAAAGTTCACATAAACATATTTGACGCCAAATCAGAACAATATTCAGCTGTCAATCTTCACCATCAACCTGGATGTGGGATAATACAATTCAAAGCATATGTTCAAACAAGCTACTAATTAATTCACATCAAACTCCCCTGGTGGGGCAGGCAAGCGGACGTCTATGTCATCAGAACTATAATCTGCAATGTTAATACGGTCTAGGTTATCATTTTGGTTATCACTTCTGAACGTTAACCAATAACCGTGGGATTTTTTTCTGCATATACAGTATTTCATCTAAACACACACTGCATCTCTCGCTACAGTAATAATAATAATAATAATAATAATAATAATAATAATAATAATAATAATAACGAAAAGAAAATGCATCAACATACTGCAAATATTAATAAAAGAACAAGAAAAGAAAAAGAAAAAGTCATTTTATAAATCACTGTGAATTTTCTCATTAAGTTTTGATTTTTATTCAAGATTAATTCATCCTTTTGTATTAGGTTAGCACATGATAACTAAGATTTATTAAGCTATGTAGGCATTAGAATTGTTATGGAAATACCAGCACTAAAATTTTTAAACAATAATGCAACAGTTATGCAACAATTCAGTGTTGAACAGGGTTGCAGTAAAATGGATTATTCCACTGATGATGATGATGGTGATGATGATTGTTATAGCTATAATTATGGATCACTTAATTGAGAGCAATATAACTGGTACAAGAGAACTTATAGCCCTTGGTATATATTGCATATATTGCATGTTGTGTTATTTTTAAATCGATCTCCATAATTACAGAAAGCCAGCATCGACTGGCTTAGCATTAAGCAAAAAGACACGCAACATTACAGCTTCTCCAGGATGAGGCTCATGATGAACTTGTGAACCCATGTTCATTTATGCTTGACCAGTTGGAATAAAACAAATTCTGGATTCCTCACCAAACCCTAACTGGCAGCATGAACAGTAACCAGACTCCTAATGGAAATCAAACACGTGAAATGTTATGTTATGTTATGGTCCAAAGACGTGGAGGCTTCGGAAATCTGAATGGCGTTAATACATACTCAGCCACAGACACACAGACATTTTTTTTTCTGCAATGACTAATTTTTACCTCATCACTACGAAGACAAATGAAAAAGATGAGATAACTCTTAGTACTGTAGCTCTGTGGTAGCGGAACAGGAATCGCATCGAAGGGTACAGGAAATACGCATGCCAGACCACAGGAACACATGGAGTGCTTAACACTCTATAAACAGCGACTATATATCTCGCACTGGGTCACAGGTCTCAAATCTCCCTCAATAAAGACATCTCTTTCTTCTCAAAAGCAGTCATAAAAATGTCGTCAGCCTGTGCCCTGCAAGGAACTCCTCAAGACCATGTATCTGACCAGCGTATTAAGTCACCCTTTGTGATGAAATAGTACGAAGACGTTATGAGTACAGACTGCCACTATAAAAATGGCTGATCCTAATAAATAACCAAAATAAAATAAACTCTTCTGGTTAAGTCATCCCATCCAGGATGTCCCCTTGCCTTGTGTCCTGTGCTGCTTGCGATGGGATCCAGGCTCTCATTGACCCTGTACTGGATAAATGATTACAGAAGATGGACAGACAAATTGATGTCAGATGGGCTTTTCACGTACCTTGTCTAGGGAGAAGGTCTTGGTGACCGCAAAGCCCCACCCCTCCTCAAAGGCCCTGCGGATCATTGGCGCGCTGGTGGTGGGGGGGGCGCTGGCCAGGCCGAAAGGGTTCGGAAAGCAGATCCCAGCGATCTTCACGCCGACGTCCACAGTGTCAATGGCGGAATAGAAGAGGGGAAGCTGGGCGTCACTGTCCACTGTCACGCCGTGGAGCGACTGCAAACAAAAGCATATACAGGTCCCATCACTACCACTCTCTCCAATCTCCCCACCAATTACACCGAGAGCTAGATAATAGTGTGATGTCATCATTCACTTATTGTTTCACATGAAAGGATATAATGACGTCTGAAGGACGATATTGACGGTATGATACGGTAGCAGACTGTTTGTTTTAGAATCATTCTGCACGTTTTTACTCCTTATGATATAAAGGGAAAACAGTCATACATCAGTACTCACTTTAATTAGCAAAGTGTTTATCGAGGCGCCATAATTGCTTCTATAATAATGTCACATCAGCATAGTAAATAACACCCTGGCAAGCATGAAGACAGCATAGGGAAAGCATACGAAGGGCAGAGAATGAAGATAGCCAGCTTGTATAGTAGGCATGTGCAGTGTTTGGAATGTAGTTAAATTTCAATTATATACTTAAATGTAGAAAATGCGCAAAAAGGCAAGTTTAAATATTTGCAGATTTTAACGTAGAGTTCTGTGCAAATTAAAACTCTTAAGTCGTGCACATAAAATCTGGCATTTAATCTTCTTTCTCCCCCCATTGTGGGCAAATTTGATCTCCTGCTCTTTTTACAAGATGCATCAGGTTTGGGCTCACAAAAGGATTGTTCGCCAAAAGCAAAATCATCACAAGAGCACAGGCATCAGAAGTAGGGAATCGCAGACCACCCAAAGCACTGGAAAGCGTGTGACTCCATAAACGGGGGTAAAAAAAATTAATAAAAAATACATAACATCCAGAATACAAACAAACCTCCCATCCTATGATCATAAATATTCATTTTCTGCACACGTGCATTAAACTTTGGTATTTACTTTATATCTAAATAAAAACTCATTACACTTATGCAAATGAACCTCATTAAACTTTAGTTCAGACATAAAACCTGCAAGTGGCACACAGTGATATTTCATAAGCAAAGGCAGAGTAATATTTTTTGCATTAACTAGAGCTGTATAAACGAAAAACATCAAATTATATATATGAAATATACAATTCAAATGATACTCCACACTTAAGTGTTAATTGAGTCTGGTCCTTATACTTATATGTAATAACATTTAATATATTTTGAATGGTGATTTATAGTAGTCAAAGAAAAGTTTCATTTCATAGAATAGCTTATAGATGCACCTTCCATTACGAGTACATCTGTAAGAGTAATGCAGCTGAATATGATGACAACTACAGCACCACATTATTTTTTATATTAAGAGCAATCCTGCATTTCATAGTTTGTCTATATAACTTTAAAGTAATTAGTAAGCTCATTAATATATGTTTCCATAGGCTTCCCAGAGAAAGAAACTGTATATCAACTAAATATTGTAGCTATGCAGCAGTTTTAAATATGAATTATCACTTTGTTTTTACAGATGTTTTTACAATAAAATAATAATAATAATAATAAATTATAACTTGAACATTTAAAGCCATACTGTCCCCTGTGCAGCCGCTCTTTCCAAGCGTCTCCCAAACACGCCCAGTCCTTTCTGGGTGGCATGTGATATATTATGCAACACTGTGGCTGTTCCGTGCATTTCATTATGGCGAGAAGTCAAACTCACTTCTCCGACGGTCACTTGTTCTTTTTGTGATAATCTCAGCTGGAAACGGCTCAAAGTGTAAACACCACCAGCTGGATAATCAACAAATGAACTGTCATATAACTGAAAAGGCAGTATGAAATTGAACAATTGTTCAATGTTCTATTATTTATTGGTCTGTTACGCCACCATGGATAAGCCTGAAAACTTACCTAAGTTTATCAGTACCTCTACTTAAATAGAGCTAATTTATTCAGCTCAATTTTGACACATGACATTATAAAAGATCGCAATGCATAGCTGACACTTATGATCTACTTATACACTGTACTTCTAATGGCATAATTAAATATCGAAATAGGACTGAAAACCACAACGCCTATAAAAAGCATTCGAAATAGGACTCAGGTACACTGTTAATTGAATGTGTAATTGAATTTTTTTTGTTGTTTTTTTCCCAGGTTGGAACTGCCAGTAAGCCCAGCAGGTCACACCTTACGTGACGGCCAGACCAGCTCTGGGAGAGTGATTATTACACTGGTGCCATAGGCATTCGGCCAATGGTAGGCGTCACCGTAGAGAAGCGACAGGCAACGGAGCTAACCGCCAAACCCCGCCCCTGACAAAACGCCGAATGCCGCGCGGTCGGGCTCAAGCCCGCCTTATCGGCATGGTACTCGCCCCCTCTGTGACACCTGGCTAACTTGGGTGGGCATTTACCTCGATCTGCCTCCAGTTATACCAGTAAACTCCAAACTCTGAGACTGAACTTAAAGTGCACCAATGATAAAAGGAACTTAAAAAAAACATTTCTCTAGGTTATTGCTGGTTGGAATACTTTACAGTGAGCATTAATAAATTTAATGACACATATTTAATTAGACACAGCAGGCAATAAAAAAAAACAGGATTCCTGCCTGGCGCATATGTAAAAGCCTGTCTCTGTAATTTTAATCGGCTTCACAGCGCTTCCCTTGTTACACTGTTTTCTTAGCCCTAACATGGGTCTTAATTCTCAGCATCTGCTGGAGTCAGTCAGAATAAGCGGGAAGACGCGACGGCAAGCTGGCGGATGACTGAAGCATGGCGTCGAGCACCTGGATGTACTTGTGGATGTGCCAGGAAGCCTGCTTGCCATCATTGACTGACTCGACAGTGGTGTGCGCATGGCCAGCCAGGTCCCCGCCGGCGAACACCCACGGCTCGCTCGCCCGCATGCTCTCGGGGTGCAGGTCGGGGAGACCCCATCTGTTGAACTTGATGGGAGTCATGGCGTCTTTCACTGGGGGGGGGGGGGAAGCAGCCGTTACGGTGTGCTGACACCGGAGCAGATGTTGGAGAGTTGGTCGGTTTAGCCATAAGGAGATTCTCTACTGGTCTAATCAACACTACAAAATGCATATTTTACCCTTAATTCTCTATCACTGATCTCTCAGGAACAGTCTTTAAGCATGAGTGCTTGCTTACGTTCATTTTAATGCATATAAGGTGCAAAAGTGCATAAACATATTACAAGGTTTATTAAACACTTTATTTTTTATATACAACAAAGATGTACAAGCAATCCCCATTTAGCGATCATGTTTTGTTTCAATGACCAGGTCAATGAATGCAGTGTTATCACCATATTTGTGAATGGTCACCAACTGAAGTGGTCGCTAAACAAGGAGTGGTTTTATAAGGAAACCCAAATACTCTACAGCAAGATCCATAAATGCTGTAGGGAAAAAATACATACATTTTCCAACGCAGATACAGAGAAAGTGAGCCCATGTCGGGGTTTGATTCTTATAGGAAAAAGATCGAACAATATAGATGAATGAACACAATTATCAAGTTATGGTGGGTGTGAATGGATACACACATACACACGAGAGTCGTCTCACCTTGATGAATGGATTCATTTGGAGGAAGCTGGAAAAAAGCCCAGAGCGAATTGCCATAGAGAGCCTTATATCATAAATATTAAAGCTAGTCTTGTATTTCTGCTTTAGTGACCTCGAACCAGGTCCAGAGCAGCACCTGGGGGGGGGGGGGCACGTGTAATCCGGGTCGCTACTCGTTTAATCAGACAAGGAAGGGAGTCTAACTAATGAACCTGAAGGAGGCACAATCCAAGGAGGTCGAACAGATAATCAGACTAACCCACCCGCCCCAGCGTCCTGAGAGATGCATATGGCAAATGGTAAACTGATTAGCTATGTCACACTGCAGAAGAACAAACACACACACATAGTTGACACCTTCCCTTTACTTCACCNGCCCCCCCAGCATCTCTGCAGCCAGCTGCTCTCGGGAGGGAGATGCTGTGGAAGATGCTGATTGCCAAGCTCCATTAAGCAGAGGAACGCACGGCATCCCACACGGCGTGGTGGAGCACACGGCGAGACGACACGCTCCATAAGGGGGGGAACAAACCTCGCCGTGATATGTACTCCATACTCTGTGGGTGGGTGCTGCTGAGTGCATACTTTGTTTTCATTTTTTTTTTTTTTAATAAACGACATACCTTCTTGTTCATCACTAGTTTATGCAAAACATAGCTAAACATATCCATTATCCCAAGCATCCTTCAGATGTGGTTCAATCCTATGGGGCATCCTATTGGAGATACTTAATGCAATCGTCTTGCTCTATAACCCAGTCAAAGTACAGCAATTTCCTATTACTTTTCAAACCTAAATCCTTTCCTCAATCAAGTCTGAGTCTTCACACCTCTATTACCCATATATTTAATTCTATTATAGCTCAGGAATTTATTGATGAGCTCCCCAAATCCCAGTTTCATTATGATTTGCCGATCATTTAATAAATGTACTTAATTAAACAAACTTACTTGTGCCTTTGCACTTAAAATGAAAAAAATAAATAAATAAAGGAAAACAACGTCATACTCATGCTCCGAAACAAACATGCTGCAGACAATGAAGGATGATTAAGGATTAAATCACAGATCTTCTCGGGAGCTGGAGGAGAGTAGCGTGATGTAGAAGAGGTGTCATTCTGTCATCACGAGCTTCTGAACTACACAGCAGAAGCTGAAACGACCTTTTCGGTTCTATTTCCAATACTTGGTTGTCACATTTTTTTGCAGAACCATCTCAACTCAGGTGGTGGTTTTACTTTTTTCCCCTCTCCTATCAGAAAATAGAAAATGATCACAGATCAAATGTAAAACAAGTGCAAATATGAAACAAGCCCATGTTTGACCACTTGAGGTATCACAGACCACCAACCCATACCATACAAAACATCATCCTCCATTAACATGCTCCAGAACAAAGGCGAGTACCAGGACAGAGTTATTCCACTGAATAGCTTATATCCTCTGAGCAATTCCACCATCTCACAAGATGAAACTGCAGAAAGACTTCTGAAGTCTCCTTGTGCTGCCCAGAAGCGATGCTTAGAAAATGCTGTTTCATTCACTTTTAGATGCCTCATGTGATAATCAAGTCCGTTTTCAAGGAACGTAATTCGGGTCAATGCAACCAAGAACATCCTCAAAATGTAACATTAGCATTTCATGTGAAAATGCAGAGAAATGTGCGTCTGTGACAGCTTTTTAAGGACATGTAATGGAAATGAAATATTACTGTCAGCCTTCATATAAGGGAGCCCCCGTTGAAATCGACAAAGGTTTCTCTTTTCCTGCTGATGGAGATGAAAGTTTCTCTACCAGAATTCCTAGACCCACACGCTACTTTAGACAAATTTGGCATAAAGTGACGAGCAAAGAGAATGACACGGGGGCCTTATGAGACCCCGTATTTAACTTTCAGATGATGGGTCTCTGCAAAAGCGCAGATGCTGACACTTTGTGGTACGTGTGTCAGCTCGACTCACAATAACACCTGCAAAAAATGAGTCACAGGTATGTACATGACACTGTAACCCTCGCTAGGAAAAGCAAATTGAAAACAGATGCATGAATGTGTCTGCATAACAATAAAAGCTCATGCTAATACATTTTTAAAACAGGGATGCTAATTTCTTCTCCATTAGACACTCGAATGCAGAATGGAATGCATTTTGCGGTTACTTTTTCTCTTAATTTGGCAAAGTGTAACCCCTTGATGTCTGTCAGTTTCATAAGGACTTGATCACAAGCTCTCTTCTAAAACCAAGTTTAAAAAGAAATCCTCAAAACACCACGCTTCACTTAGTTATTTGGCAAACCTTTTAATTCAAAGCAAGAAAAGCTTGAGGTCACTGAGCAGGGTTGGCCCCCCGGAACACATATGGGCTTTGCCTAGCAGTTATATGATAACTCGCCCAGACACGGGGTTTTGAACTGATGACTCTCTGGACTCACACATAACTCCGTACCCGTTCTTCCACAGTTTGCCGTTAGCTTAAAAACAGGACAAATTATAAATTGCATGTTGGTAACTGATTCTGCAACCCATACTTTTATTATATCAAGGCTATATTTATGTAATGCTTTATGGCATCTCTGAAGTTTCCTTAAACATCCTTCAACTTGTACAAAACCTGGAACTGTGATAAGTCTTTCACCTTATTTTTCCTACTCCATTGACACGTAAGGATTTTATCTCCGTCACTTATGTAACCTCTTAAAGTTTCTGTGCTCAAATATGATTCCTGACCATGGGCAGTGTTACATCTCCAGACTGCAATAGCTCCTTGTTTATGTATGAACCAAATTTTGCCCAGAATCCAAAATCATGGTAATACAATGCTATCTCAATGGAAATGACTAGGCCAGTAGTAGGTTGTTTTTTTTATCTTCCTGGATTGACCGTAACATATGCAATAAACCCTCCTTGAAAAAAATATGTTGTGATATGTATAACAAACAAGTAAATTCAAGAATATCCATTCACTTCACGTGTGACTTATTATCAGTTGTATAAGATTCTTTCCTCCTGGCCAAAAACACAGCTAGACCCCATGCCATTACTGCACTCCAGCCTCATACATAACCAAATTCTTGTATATTTTCCTGTGTTGAAACGGCTGTCTTTTGCTCTGATACATGATACGGAAGGTATCCCACACAAACACAGTGAGAACATACAAACTCCACACATATGGACCTAGCGGCAAGAATCAAGCCCACAACCCTAAAGATGTGAGACAAGAGTGGTACTTACTGAGTCATTACATCACCCTGCAGCTTCAGCTACACCTTACAGACTGAAGCAAGCATGCAGAGACAGAAGCATGAATTGCTCTGACTATATGGATTTAAATGTTATTTTTGTTTTTGATGCTATTAAACACAATCAGCAGGAATACAGCTATCAGAACTGCCAGGAGCAAAATAAAAAATACAGTGATAATGAAAAATTAAGAAGGGTTCTTAAGAATTTTTAAATCATTATCTATATTTATAAAATAGCATTGTAGGTATAACTTTTACTATCCTTATAAGATACATTATATTGTTTAATGAGTTTCCTGGACACAACCACAATGAGTTTCCTTAAAACTGTGAAACTAATGCTGAAAAACAGTAATAACAAAGACAATTTTTATATCACTTAGCCCTTCATTCAGTATAAAGCAAATAATTAAAACAGCACTGATAACCAATTAGAAAACAAGAAAAGTCGATATTGTTAGATGTCTGAAAATGATTCCCCGTTAAGGTCTTCCTCTTCATGTATCGGCAGAATGTATTTGTCTAATCATTTTAAGCACGGATTCGTAATCAGCTCGAGCTCAATATTCTGAATGCAATGAGTAACACTGTTAGCAGAGTGCGCTCTTGACACCAGCCAGGATGATGGTGGGGTTCTGTACTTAAACTACAGTCCTTTCCTATGCGGCACCTGTAGCATCCAAACAGTAACTGAAAAAAAACGAGCGTGTAAAACAGTTTCTCTTTATTATTCTGAAGTTCCAAAGTCAGTTTGTTAGCATTATTAAATTAGCTGACACTTTGTCTACAGTAAGCTACAAATGAGGGAAGTTTGGGGTCAGAGAGCCAGCACCTGGCACCCCTGGAGCAGTCAGGGTGGGGGGGCATGCCGAGGACTTCCCAAGGGCACAGATCCTTACACACCCCCAACTGTATACTGTGATACGGTGACTGATACTGTGTATAGTTATACTGTGATACGGTGACTGATACTGTGTATAGTTATACTGTGATACGGTGACTGATACTGTGTATAGTTATACTGTGATACGGTGACTGATACTGTCTATAGCTATACTGTGATACTGTGACTGATGCTGTGTATAGCTACTGTATACTGTGATACTGTGACTGATACTGTGTATAGCTACTGTATACTGTGATACAGTGACTGATACTGTGTATAGCTATACTGTGATACTGTGACTGATACTATGTATAGCTATACTGTGACACTGTGACTGATACTATGTATAGCTACTGTATACTGTGACTGATACTGTGTATAGCTACTGTATACTGTGATACTGTGACTGATACAGTGTATAGCTACTGTATACTGTGACTGATACTGTGTATATATCATGTACTGTAATTTACTCTTATACAGGTATGTATCACTTAGCATTCACATTATGTTCTGCCCAATAAGACGTTAGGCGACTCGGACACTATGCAAACATCATATATACTGTAAACATACCCGATACAGTATCTGTGCTGCCTAAAAAGCCAAGATACTTTACACTAACTAATACAGTACTGAACAGTTTTCTACTGCACTTTAATAAAACTGATACATACTACAGTGCATTAGCTAGAGGTAGATCAGGCTGATCAGGATTTTTCAACTCTATTTCAACCTTTAACAAAGCAAGATCCAAAAAGGCATGGTTTGGCGAATTTGGTGTGGAAGAACTTGACTGGCCCACAAAGCACCCTGACCTCAACCCCATCAAACACCTTTGGGATAAACTATAATGGAGATTGTAAGCCAGGCCTTCATGTCCAATAGTGCCTGACCTCACAGATGCTCTACTGAATGAATGGGCAAAAATTCCCACACACTCCAAGATCTTGTGGAAAGTGTTACCAGAAGAGTGGCAGCTGTAATAGCTGCAAAGGGGGGACCAACTCCGTACTGATGCCTATGGATGTACTGTAGAATTGGATGTCATGAAAGTTCCTGTAGGAGTAATGGTCAGGTGTCCCAACACTTTTGTGCATATAATGTTTGTGTTCGCATGAGTTTGCATGATCTTCCAGTTTCTTGTAGGTGCTAATTGTTATTCTTATTATTTCTATGTATAAACTATACAGTTGACATGAACAGCTCTCTAAAAAGAGATGAATTATATTCCTATTAAATCTATAAAGACGGCGATTTTTAATTCCTGTATTTAGTACTGTATTTCATGTCGATGAATGTGAATAATTTTATAATTTTTTTTTTATAATATCATACAAAAGTTCCCGATAGCTTACTTTTGGTCATGTAAATAAATCTGAAAACTAAATTCTGTTCATTGTTTCAGTATTTGTTACATGTTACTAAAGATAGATTTTGTGATGACTATGTAGATTCAAACATTTCAAACAAATTCACAAGGTTAGTATCAAAGAAATCTCAGTAAAATAAACAGCTGACCAGTATTTTAAAAAAATGCTTATTTTAGGACAGGTCTATGTAATGTTTTTATGGTTTTAATTATAAGGATGAACCAGACCCGTTATTTTCTTTTGAAGGAATTCTTGTGGTTCATTACTGTTCCAAACAAATTCTTACCTTTGGGGTCACTAAGCAATGAGCCAAAGGCACTGATGATAAAATCGGCTTTCAGGCGTACGGTTTGTTCCTCGTCCTCGGCCCAGTCACCAGCGTCAGTCTGTTCAGTACGACAGAACTCCATGCCGGAGACTCGTGCGCCCTTCAGGATGACTTTACGCGGAGACAGGAAGGGCAGGAACTCACACATCTCCTCCCTGGCATGTTCAACCTAAACAAATTCAATGCATATGTATCAATACATCAACAACGAATCAGATTTTTTACATGTTGTAAAATCTTAACCAACCGTCCAGAAGAGGTAACATTCCAGGTTCTCAAAGCAATTTTTTTTTATTGTAAAAGTCAAATTGCATTGTTAATAAAATCATTTGCAAAAATGTGTTCCTTGAAAGTAGAGAGTAAAGCTCTCTCAATTATAAAATGAATTATATGGCCCAAGGAAAAGCTTCTATTGAGTTATTTTTACATATATATAGCAATATCATACACTTTATGAGATATATTTTATTTGCTGGAAGAATTATCTTTAGTCCTTAAAATTAAAGTTCCTTGTGTTGCATTCACCTTCTAGAATGAAAAATATTATGTATTATATAAATAAACTTAATTGGCATAAGCCAGCAGAGGCACAGCATTATGATTCTTTAAATAAAGAGATATGAATAGCTATCACATTTTCTGATTTATTTCAGTTTTGTTAGCTGTTTCCATGGTACCAGCTGTTTCCATGGTTCCGGGTTCAAAACGTGTATTTAAAAGAAGCACAAAATAATTTGTACAAATCAAAACTTAAAAGCAACAGGGAAACCAGGTTTAATATTTACATGTTATTTTAAATGCATATTTAGACGCATTATTTTGTTTCCCAATCCTATAGGTGGAATAGAAGTAAAAGAGTATAATGATAAGAGAAAAATGTAAAAACTGACAAAAGTAGTTATTGTTGTTACCGCTGTTATTAAATTGCCTAGATGACTTTTTGTCTGCTTGAAAATCTTTCCTCTGCAAAGCTGTATATATACTATATGATTTCAGAACAAGTGCACTGCCTAAACATTGAGTATAAAGTCCTCTCCTGAGGACTAAACCTTGACACAATTGTTTGGTCATCAGCTGGCAATAAATAACTGCTATACTGCATAGCAACAAGCTCAAACCCAACTTACAAATGTAACGCACATCAGGAAAGATAAAGGGCTCATTTAACAAAAACATGCCAAACTGTGGATACACTGCCGTAGCTAAATTAATCCTAATATATCATCTGCGTAAATGAAGCCTTAATGTCTTTTATCGTTAGAAATGTACTTTGCATAACATATCCCTTATGTCAAACAGTACTTACTGTGAGTTACAATTTTTATTTGGAGTTAATCTACTTATTAATAATAATACAAACTGTTTTTTTCAGTTAAGAAAGATACTTTAACAGATAGCTAATGAAAAAGCCCGGAACAGTGTGAGAGGACTTTGCATGCTCTCCTGTGTTGCACGGATTTCCTCCGGTACTCCAGATACCTCTGAGAGATCGAAGACAGAGTATCTGATAGGGAAGACCAGGGATAATTGCTGAATTGAATCTGGCTATTTATTCATTAATATGTTTACTTTTAGTATGACAAGTTTCATGAGCATCACAGTTGCTGGTAGGAGCCTTAAGCTAGCTGAAGTGCTCCTTTGTTAAAGCGAGTTAAAAGTCCATTCAACAACTGACCCCATTCAGCAGCTGTCCCTGGTTCCCCCTACATGAAACAGTCAGTAGCATTTGTCTGTGTCTGCCCTGCGATCGCCATACTCCCTGGACTTTCAGACTCCATACTGGATAAGCAGTTATGGAAGATTGATGAAAGATTCTTTGCCTTTCCTGATACATCACTGAAACAAGTAACAATCACTGACAGACACATTTTTATCTTCCTAGCTGTGACTCTCAGATGCCCCTTATTTGCACACCATAACCCCGCCCTTGATGAAAATGAAATATATTTCCAAAAATGGCAAATGTATTTGTTTCAAGGAAACAGCAAGTGGGGAGGATGGAGTATCTCCCGTGCAGGTGCCTTAACGAGACACGTCTTAACAAGTGTCATCAATGCAGGAAGACGCGCAGGAAGGAGAGCAGGAAGAAGCACAGGAAGGAGAGCAGGAAGGAGCACAGGAAAGATCACAGGAAGGAGTGCAGGAAGAAGCGCAGGAAGGAGAGCAGGAAGGAGCGCAGGAAGGAGCACAGGAAAGAGTGCAGGAAGGAGCACAGGAAGGAGTGCAGGAAGAAGCGCAGGAAAGAGCACAGGAAGGAGTGCAGGAAGGAGCACCGTTGGCCCCCTACCTCTTCAGGGACGGCTCGGATGTTAGTAAACCCCTTTCGGAAAACGACGAAGACACGCCGGGCCCCGCAACGGAGGGCGGAGGTGGCACAGTCGAAGGCGGTGTCACCAGAGCCCAGAACGATGACGTTGCCCTGCAGCTCAGGAAGCTGGGAGCGGCAGGTACACATTCCTAGGGTGGGACAAAATATCACCTCTTCTTCTGTCTCCTCAGCATGCATACGGCTCTACAACTGCTTCTTCGCAGTAACCAGGCCACTGATAAAGTACATATCTTGATTCAATACAATGGTCAAGTGCAGATTGCGCAGAATGGTTACTAATATGCCTCAAATTCTAGAAAAAGTTTGGATGCCAGTGAACCGGACTTTCTTAGTAGTTAAATTACAATGAAACAGGGTCATGATGAGAGTGGTGGGCATGCGTGAGGTAAACGACTGTCACAAGCTGGTCAAATTAAATTTAAAACCTTTCTCTTACTAGTTCTTCAAGTTCTACTTGCACTTGCATCCTAATTTTCATCCTAATTTCAAGAAATTGCATCATTTAGCAGGTCACCATACTCTTTACATTAATGCTTACATTAATAAAGACTGTATTTATATTATTATTATTATTATTATTATTATTATTATTATTATTATTATTATTATTCATTTTTAGTTTTCTCATTACAATCTTCCTGTAAGGCACCTGTCCTGATTAATTATCTATAGAAAATGAATAACAATAATAATTAATAACAATAAATAATAATAAGTCATAAATATACCATGGATAGTCTGCTGGTCGACAAATATTGATGATAGGACAAAATTCCACAGGTTCAGTGACAGTCAGGGCAGCATAACTTCCGCAAAAAGCTAAAAGCCAACATTAATGCCAACATTTTCGCAAACATAATACAAATGCTAAGTAGACCCTTAACTCTAAGCCAGCAAAGTTCAGACTTACACAAACCAGGTTTGCATTAGACGACAAAATTGAGCATGCATAACAACTGATATTACACACTACTTAGCAGCTGCTAGCATATTATTACTTCTGAAATTACTGTATTTACATTGTACTTCCTGCCCACTTTAAAGCATCCCTTATGTTTAGCTGTGCTTATTGTGCAGACATTGTGAAGGATAAAGTGTTGCAAGAAAAGTTTGAGGAGAAAAAAGTTACACAAGAAAGTGCTCTTACTCGTTTTTTTTCACTTATATTTATATATAATGAATTTAGCTGAGTTTAACAGCATTTTTCCTCCGACCTCAACTTTACACAATGCATTTTCACAGAACAAAACGCCTAGATATGAAACATATGACATCATTCTAGCAGATGTCCATTTAAAAAAAAAAATAAAAAAATTGAAAGGGAGAAGATCAGAACTGCAACCCTCTCTCTCCCAACTTATAAAATTTGGAAATGAATGTGAGTAAATATTTGTCACAGGGGAATACAGTGACGAAGCTTCACCCCCCAGTTCAACGTGCAGATTTTCCGTCAGTGAGAGAAATGCTTACCTGCTTTGCTGGCCTTGGCAACCACTGGCAAGAAGTCCTTTGATGTATAAAAACCCTGCTCCCTTGAGAGGCCGTCAAAGATCTTGTGCTTGTTTGCCTGGGGTAGACCTGTTTGACCAGGGAGAACAAAACAACAACAAAATATTTATATTCATATCATACATACTATACTGTAAAAGAATAATACACAGATCTATGTCTCTGTGTTTTGCTGGAGATGAAAATAGCACCCTAGGCATACTGTATATTTACATTGTCTACCACAGCAAGGAAGCCTGAACAGCTTATCACTGGATTTCACCATACGTGCGTATCGCAGTGCACACAGTTGAAGAGGCTCGTAAGAGCTTGCCCGATTCTAATGGGATCCTATTCAGTAAGTGTCAAACCAGGCCAAAACGGCATGCATGCTCCATAACAAGTGTGATTTGTAATTGTTCACTCGAGCAAAATACTCGCCGAGTGCTCGATGCCTGTTAACCGAGAGCTCTGATGCCGCGATTGTTCCCCCGTGTCTCCTGCTAATCAGATATGAGGAACAGGACGCCCTCGACACAATGCGTGCTGCGATATCCCCGGTGCTAACACATTTGGTGTCTCCAGATGTACTTGGTTTATTAATTCCGATTTTCGAAATGGTATTGCAAGTGATGAAATAATGAGAAATCTGTACAGGCCTCTAAGCAAGTCAAACTGTCATTCTAAGATGTTGTATATGAATGATTATATATGACATAAATATATCTTACAATTTATAAATTGTGAGACATACGACAACTCTAAGTCATATACAATCATACATATATATGTACCATATGTAAGATCTGTATACATGTGTACATATAAATCTATATAAACAGATATGACTCTGTGAATTCTTTTATTATACACCTTTTTGTTATATTGTGCATTTCACAGACTATCATGAATTGCATTATAACCACTGGCTTTATTATTTATTATTTACTAAATATGGGACTAATCAAAATAAAGTGAAATAATGAGATGTTTGAACCAACCTCTGGATATGAATCAATTATAATGACATAAGTGAGTGAGGTTTTGTTTTACTGAACACTCCACCCCCAATAGATATCCATATTTTGTAGGATACTGTTCATGGGGTATGTGTCGGGGGCTGGGGGGGGGGGTATTATCAATCACTATCTCATTACCAAGCTGTCATTTGGGTTTCGGTTAAATGCATTCTGGCTTACTGCCGTGCTCAGTGCTCAATGAAATGACCGTAAGTCACACAGAAGTCACCAACGCTATACATCAAAGGGCAGAACACTGCTGTTATCATACCTTAATAAACAGTTTCATCTGAAACCCGTAATCCTCTGAACTGGCTTATCTAACCTATAATGTACTGCCCAATTTATGAGCTGTAATGAGGATACAATTTACTTAATTTCACACTAAATATAAATTGTGGTATATTGCACCAAACTGTTCGATTTTCAACACAAATTTACTGTAATTTTTTGCTTACTCAACAGTTTTATCCAATGTGACCTTTAACCATTTATTCAGATGAAAGAAACTGAACAAATATATTGATGCAAAAAAACCATTGGAATCAGTTTAAATGATTCCGAATACACTTGAAAAGTGTAGGCAGGCAATGCATATTTTTTGAATTGTGCTTGGAAATGGATGGGCAGATAATCACTGTGGACCTCCTTGGCAACAGGCCCTCTCAGGAGTCTCCTATTAAAACTCTGCACAGCCATGGAGGGGCACTTAACCACCCAGAATATTCAGTGACCATACAAACAAGTCTTAAGTATGTACTCGTCATAATCTGAATGGTCCATTTTCTCTGTAGATGGAGATTTGGCATTACGCTGGACTCCACCACACTGCCTTAGTATCCATGTGCGTTACGGCTAAGAGACTGTAAACAGAGATCGCCAACCAGTCTGCACACAAATAAACGTATCCGTAACAAGACTTATCTGTGTCCGTGGTAATAAAACTATGTGGGCTTTGTTTCTAAATACCACGTGCGTGGTTAAAAATTAATTTTGATGACATTTTCCGGCAGAATTCACCATGGTATTGACCCCTGACCCCAAAGATTGTTGGTCCAACCATTATGGACTTCACTGGGTTCATTACAAGTCAAAAAGAAAAGCCTGTTAAAATGCACATTTTAACACTAACAGTTTTTATTCTGCCCCATCTTTTATATGCAATACGCTTCCATTTTCCACAGAGTGATTCTCATTTACTTTGCTCTGATCTACACGCCTCAATTACAGAAGAGACAATGAGCAGGCGAATACCATTGAAAACAATAAATCATATTATTTTCCACTGGGCAGGCACTCCTTAATCACATGTTATGGGAAGCTATTGCTGCCCGAAGCTAAGAATGAAAAGCACTTCATTCTGACGTCCATTCAACACCCGGTCACCGGCCCTGTGAATCACACAAACGTGAACAGACAGGGCCGCGGCAATAACCTGTGGTGGAAAACTAAGCATACGGGGATTTAACATAAATAAAGACTCTGAACGCATTAAATGCCATTTTCACATGATATTCTTTAACCTTGTCCTAAAATGAGTGAGAAATTGAAGTGGAGTAGTATTTTTTTAAATGCCCTTTTGCTACCATTTGGCCATTATGGCTGAATGAGTGTATTTTCTCCATGATGGATGCAGCCCATAAATGATCCCAGCCTCTTTAAGGTCAGACTATGTAGATTCAGATAAATGTATAGTATTACATCAAGCTCAAAGTACACAAATGCATCACTGAATTGTTGGGAGAGCACAAAAGAATAATCCATCAGAATAAATTATATCATTACATACAACTGGTTATACCTAATATTTATACATATAAAAACACAGCAAGTGAGAATATTTCTTAAAATAACAGTCCTTCACCTAAGGCTATTAGTTTGCTATGATTTCTAATCTTTTCACTAAGCTAATAGGAGCAGAACAGGGACAGCAAGATTAAAAATGCATTTTATTTTTAAATGTATAATAATATGCACCTATATATCTAGCAAAACACAGAATTATCTGCATGCATAGTGATCATATGTATCTATAAATTTATAGTACAGCAATTAGTTATTATTATTTAACAATCATCCAATAATTATATATTTGCCAATATGATAATGAACAGACTGGGCGATCATTCAAATAAAGCATTGCTGTTTCCCCAAAGATTATCAGCAATACATAATAGTGCGGCTCATTCACCTCCCAAAGCCATCGCACCGATCACTCGACGAGAAGCCGGACACAGGCCATCCGTCATGTTATAGTGAATTCAACACAAATGTCATCATTAATAAACATTGTCATACTTCTACAATATGACACGTAATAGTAACCATTTTATTCCCTATTGTCACCTAGTGCGGATCATAGCATTTTTCATGGTACAGGATTTTCCCTTGCAATACGGGCTGTAATACAATGGGCAAACATGTGGCAAGCGCAGCAACTCTCGTCGTAATGCGGTTATTAATGTTCAATGTCAGGGTAGATGCTGAGATTTCAGAAGTTATAGGAAATATTTTATATATGTACTGCAATGTGACGTGAATGAGAAAATAGCATTTCGAAGTTCGAGTTTCTACAACATTTGTGTTTGGTTGTTTTTGGCAGATCTTTTTATCATATGAGTTAAGCCGCGGTGAATGTAAGCATGCAGCCATTGATGTTAACATAAAATTGCCAGCGGAAATATTTTCAAGGGGTCAAAAGAACCACCAAAGTCCAATTAATCAGATAAATAAGTTGTATGAACTTTTCTGCTTTATATAACTGCACTTTTCCATTTCCACTCGCTTCATTACTGTCTTACCTGACATTTCAGCAGGCAATTAGCGACTAATGCAAAAAGCAAGCGGGGGTTAATAAAGGAAAACCAACCGATTCCAATGAAAACCGCTTTGTATCCTTCCTCCTTCAGCGTGGTCAAAGTCATCCCATCCTGACCGAGGCCTTTCTCGCACACAATCTGCAAAACAGCAGAGGCACATGTAAACAGCGGCGGCAGACTGCAGGATCTGTGATTCTGTTACACGTGAAACAGTCACCATGAACATCTAGGGCATCTGCAAAAGGCAAGTATATAAATTGTTGGACGATTGCAGAAGTAATTAGGAAGTGACACGAAAAACTGTGCGGAGGTTAAAAAGTAAGTGTAGTAGGAAGTTGTGTGTAAACACATTTGTTTGGTTCAAACTGAAAGTGATGCATGGGGTATTTTGCTTCAATAAATAGCAACTTAACATCCAATCAAAATCAAAACAGTATTGCTGTACTGTACAATACAAGCTATTGAACGAAAGTTAATGATTTATATTAATTATTAAGACCATTCATACATTCAACCATCTTCTAGCCGTCTATCTTGCTGATGCAATTGGTGCCATAAATAACACCGTTGAACCGCAAAACAAAAAGGAAGGATGGAGAAAGACAAGGTTACACAACCCACAGCAGGTGGGACGGCAAGGGCTGTCAAACACTGGTCCCACCATTGTTGTGATTCACCGGGGGCCACTGTGTTAAACCCAACAGTGATTGACAATGAATGATTATTCCATATACTTATACTGGAAAAGAATCAATTTTCCTGTCGTCAGAAAACAGTATGATGCTATGGGACAAGGCAAGTTTACAGTTAACAAACGCTATTCTTACTTTTACTATGAAGATTTGCATGAATCTCTACCCAAGCACTATTCTCACCAAGACTATAAGATAGAACTGGAATTAAAACAGTTATGACAACACAAAGTAATTTTACTAATCATACCATGCACTTTACTCACCAATGTACTGAAGGCTTCCCTTGGATGGAACAGTAAAGATTGCCATTGCAAGATATTAAGGATATTTGCAATTTTAGAATGATGTGTTAACTGTCCATATATACAACCATATTCACATATCTGGACACCAATTTCAGGTACACTATGTAAATATTGCATAGCTACGGCCTTGATGATTATTTGACTCTAAAATCTGACTATAATGGTAAATATTAAGTACTAAATGTTTATGCCTTTTCTTTCATTTTCTATTGCCATGAATGAACTTAATAAATGAACTATAAATCAGTTAATTTATTTCACAAGACTAATGTGGCCATTAATGAAAGGGGTTATTAAAAAAAACACAGGAAGAGAAAATTTATTTTAAAAATATGCAAATTCATCACCTCTCGGGCAACTCGGGGAATTTGCTTCTTCCTCAAAATTAATCATGAGCTGCTGTTCTAGATGAAGACTATAGATTACCCTTTATCACCAGAGCGGCATTAAGGAAACAGACAGATGGATGCTGGCAGCCAAAGGCTGAAGGAGGCATCTTTCCTGCGGGCATCCCTATGGCTGCTTTTAATTTTTCTTAGCTAACGTGGCTGACATTTGGCAGGTAATCTTTCCAGATTGCCGCGGCCTCGGCCGCTCGGATGAACCCGGCCGATGCAGAAGAGCGAGGAGCCCGGTCATTACCTTCACACCCAGGTCCTTCATTAGTTCTATCTCAAACTGCACCACCTCAAAGGGTAGCCGGAACTGGGGGATCTCTCCAGTGCTAAACAAAAGGCAGAGAAGAGAGAGAGAAACACTCTGGGTTATACACACAGCTAGTTGGGGGAAAATGATGCATCTGTCTCTCCAGTTTTTCTCATCTATCCTTTGCTCTGGCAAAAAAGAAATGCCCTGTTCACAGTTATCTTCCTTGGGTCACGGATATAAAACAGTACTGGACATGTAAGCAGAACTTTTATATGACATAGACATAGATCTGAAATTTGGAGGGGAAACGGAAACACAATGTTAGCAGAATGTTCAAACAGCGGTGGGGGGAGCGGGAGGGGGAGGGTAACACACCTTCCCACAGCCATGACGACCAGCATCAGGAAAAAACCCGCATCGATGCCACGAGATAAATATGCAACAACACACAATTAAAAGCACCGAAAAACCAAGGCCTTTAAGAATGACTATGACTAATTATTTCATTAACATCTTTAACCTTCAAGCCTATTTGCCTGTGTATTGATCTCAACAGTGCCCTTCAGAGGTAACTATATAAATAGGATGTACATGTACAGCTTTTACAGCGACACACAGTTAAAGGGTCTTGTTTTGTAAATCGGTCAACCTGAACAAAAGCAAAGAGTTGCTTCCTGCTGAATAGAGTCCTGTTCATGCAGTATGTTTATATCAGACAAGTTAGAATGGAAATTCATACTGGTAACATGGGGCACAAATCATATAGCATTATATTATCACATATGTATTAATTAACCACAAACTAAGTCTTAGTTACATACTGATCTCATGTTAATTCATCATTTATGATTAAGTTTTATCCCAAGTAGTTACTATATTCGTTACTACATCTGTTAATTTTATAAACCTTTGTGAACTACTGAAGGAACTACTAAGGAACTATTGAGGGAATAAGTAATGAATAATACAAGTGAAATCTCATGTTTGCTCATTAATGAAACATGACGCATCTTTAATCTCAAGTAGCAACTATATTTGTTTATGATTTGTTCATAATTTGTACTTCAGAAGTAAGTGAGTTATTACTAAGCATTCGTGCACCATCAAGTAAAGTGTTACCATCCATCTGGTTTCAAACCACATATCCTATTCAGGGTTGCAGGGGGTCTGGAGCCTATCCTGAAGGCTACGGGTGCAAGGTGGGGAACAGCCCAGGAAACTGGAATACCCGGAGCAAACCCCGCGAGGACGCGGGGAGAACATGCAAACTGCACACACATGGAACCTTGGCAAAATGCAAACCCAGGTTCCAGAGGTATGAGGTGACCGTGCTACCCACTGCACCACCATGCTGCCCCATAAAGTGTGACCTTCATACATAATTAGAACATTAAAATTAATGCATTACAGAGACTGAGAGCAGGTCCTAGAGATTAAAAAACTGACTCTTGTTAGATGCTGATAAACAAGCGCCTGTTTCTACTTTTCTCCAAGAAATATTTATACATGTGACCTTCGTTATTGTTTTTACCCTATGCAAAAATAATCAGAGATGGGTTTTAAAGGCTTCACTGCGCCTTGGCATGTGTCTATGACTATTGCGAAGTTGGATCAAATAGATTCTTCCATGAGAATTCCCATCTTGTGATATTTTGATGGCACTGGTGGAAAATGGGGATTCAGAACCTATATTCAACTGCCGGTGAAGTATTGGAGCTCAACTGGATTGAGGTCCAACGAGAAGAGCGGCTAACTTGTGTCTTGCATCATTTAACGTAAACCAATCAAACCGTTCACTGGCTACTCGCACCCTGTTGATGGAGGTATTGTCCTCTCAAACTCTCAGTAGGAGATCAATGTCTCGCCACTGGATAAATGTCAGCACTGAGAATTGCCTCGTAGTTATTAGCATTCCCTCTCCCCTCTAAGCGCCTCAGCAAACCTAATCCATGCCAGGAAAAGAATCCCATGCTATTACAGAGCCGCCAAGCCCCTTCATCACTGGAATCGAGCACTGGATCCTCTAGACTTCTGTGCCATATGCCACACTCATACTCTTCTGTTTATAGGCAACAAGCTGAAGGATGACTCATTTGACAAAATCATTTATCAATTAATTATAATATTCCACTGTTTAGGATATCTCAGTATTTTCTTTGTGAACTTTTAGGTGTATTTTAGGTGCAATAAAAAGTTTATGCACCGCAACAAAGACAGAGCATCTCTGCAGATTTCTTCAGGTAGGAATTGATGAAAGTGGCTGCTCATACCTTAGATTGACATCTGGAGTCAGCTGATTCCGAGTTAGTTACTCAAAACAATGTTTGAATGTAACCATCAAGCAGTTTCATCCACCTTTTCCCTGAGCTGATGATTTGCTCAACACCAGTATCAACACCTCAACACCTTGGCGACAGTTCATTGTGAAACATAAGCCAACTGCTTAAATTGAATATACTAATTTTTTTATGCAGTATAAGCTGAAAAGGCTTGTCATGCCGTACAACCAACGTTAATATTGGTTTGTTTTGTTTTCACACTAGGCATTATAAAACAAGAAGTGACCAAATAATAGATGAATGGTGTTTTTCCCCTTTTATTTTGTTTTTTACCTTAACCCCCCAACATATTTCTCCTTCTCAAATATGGTGATGTTGTCATAGCCAAGGCGGGCGAGGAAGGAGGCACAGCTGATGCTGGCTGGGCCGCAGCCAATCAGGGCGATCTTCGAGTGGAAACTCTCTGGCATCTGATCCGGAGGAGGCAGTTGAGGATTTCGAACCTGAGGAATACCCATCTGGCTGAAAACCTGGAGATGAAAAACAAGCAATTAATAAAAAAAAAAAAGCTGTTTAAAATTCTCAACAATGTAGACCCATCCATGACAAAAGAGTGGACCATGGATTAGGTTCAACGCTTTTATTACCCTAACTGCACTATTTAAAAGTACTGGTTCATTATAATAAAGCAAACTATTTCCATGCCTTTCCATGTTTACTTATCCTCCATTTCCTTATATATCACCATTTGCTAAGAAACCACAATGCGTAGCCAAACAGAAAGACACCATGACAAGTGTGGACTTTCGTTCAGGTTATCATACTTAATTTTCTCCGGACCCTGAGCCGAAATGCAGACCGAGATCCAAATCTATCAGCCTGAAGGAGTGCTCCTCCCTTCCAGGAGTGCTCCTCCCTTCCCCTGAAGTCCCCAACAACCATGAAAAGACCTGAATGAGAGGCCATCTCGACAATGAGGACCGGATGACGCAGCTCCTAAGTGAAACTCAATGATGGCACTTAAAAGACACTTAGGCATATCATTACGATGACGTTTGACTGTAGTCGCAGAAGCAATAAGCACCTAAATGTTCCACAGTAATTTAACTTTTTTTTTATATAAACTATAACATCGTAATTCAGAGACTTCAATTTGCATCTCTAAATTTTTGGTCAGGAGGGAAAGGGGAGAACCCAAATTTTACAAACAGGGGCAATATCTGAACCATGGTGGTGAGGGGCCACAACTGCTACTCATTGAGCCACTGTGCAACCGTGCCAAGTGACAATAAAGCATCATTCAACCAAGAATTTAATTGTGGTGGAGTGTGGCTCAGCGGGCAGCTGGCCGGTTTGTGCCCCCGCCTTGGCACCATAATCACGTGTCCGGGGGCCATTAAGTGAGGCTCCTTCTCCCCAGCATCAGGAGTGCTGCACACTGACGGACCCTGTGCTCTCACCCCCACGCTTGCTCTCACCCGCAAGTGTGTCTCATAGAAAGCAAGGTGGGGGAGCTGAAAATAGAACTTCCCTGTAACATAAAGGATCACTATTCTGTACATGTAGCAATCCTGAACTCAAACACAGCTTTTTACTTGTGGATATCAAGGAAATGGCTTGGCTCAGAGAGGTGGCATGGGGGTGCAGTGGTGAGCACTGTCACCTCACACTTCCAGGGTCAGGGTTTGAGTCTCCACCAGGGTTCCATGTGTGTGGAGTTGGTATGTTCTTCCCCGTGGGGTTTCCTCACTCAGGTTTCCCCCCACAGTCCAGGAACATGCTGAGGCTAATTGGAGTTACGAAATTGTGTGTGAGTACGTCCTGCCATGGGTTGGTGCCCCATCCTGTGTTATTCCCTGTCTCCTGCGAACCTAAATAGGACAAGTGGTTTTAGGAAACGTATGGATGTTCTGGATTAGCTCAAAATGCACTTTACATCAAGGAAGCCAAAGCAGCAATCAGAAGCTCTCCTGGTCCTCCAGCCAGACTTGATTAGAAGAAATACCGCATTTCTCACTTGCTTGTGGAGAAGCAATGACTTTATCTGCACTCAAAGCCAGTGGGGCACTAGTGAATACAGCTGGGCATTCCTCCCCTAAGGTTATCTAATTATCAGCCCGATAACCACTGTGACCTTTAACATTTAAGGAAAAAGGAACTGCCACCAAGACACAGATATCTAACGAGTCATAGGGGTGGCAGGTGACATAAGAGAACCGTCACTTTATAATAACTGCTTTTTATCCTGTAAACCTTAGTAAAACTTTACACTGAGCCTTCTTTGTGTTGAAAAGTATAACAGGCAGAAAGTGGAAAAAATGGAGCAAAATAATAATTTGGGCTGAATATAAGACTGCAAGACATTAAAAGGCATTCCACTTACAGCAATGATAAACATGGCCAAAAACTGAAACTAAACTATAAAACATCACCTTCTGTTAAAAACACATTGGTTGCATTACATTTCTTTTTTTCATACAGCTTTTGCTGTTCAGTAAAATAAAATCTACAGATAAACACCATATGGACAAAAGTATTGGGACACCTGGCCATTACACCTACAGGAACTTTTATGACATCTGGTTCTAAATCCTTGATCATCAATATGGAGTTGGTCCCCCTTTGCAGGTAGAACAGCTGACACTCTTCTGGAAAGACTTTCTCCAAATTTAAGGAGTGTGTCTGTAGGAATTTTTGCCCATTCATCCAGAACAGCATTTGTGAGGTCAGGCATTGATGTTGGACGTGAAGGCCTCACAATCTCCGTTCTAGGTCATCCCAAAGGTGTTAGATGGGGTTGAGGTCAGGGCTCGGTGCGGGCCAGTCAAGTTCTTCCACACCAAACTCACCCAACCATGTCTGTATGGACCTTGCTTTGTGCACTGGGTGACAGTCATGCTGGAGCAGAAAAGAACCTTCCCCAAACTGTTCCCACAAAGTTGGAAGCATAGAATTCTCCAAAATGTCTTGGTATGCTGAAGCATTAAGAGTTCTCCTCACTGAAAGAGGCCTGAAAAACAACCCCATCCTCCCTCCTCCACCAAACTTTACAGTTGGCACAATGCAGTCAGGCAGGTAACGTTCTCCTGGCATCCACCAAACCCAGACTCGTCCATCAGACTGCCAAACAGAGAAGTGCGATTCGTCACTCCACAGAACACATTTCCACTCCTCCAGAGTCCAGTGGCGGCGTGCTTTACACCACTCCATCTGACGTTTGGCATTGAGCTTGATGACGTGAGGCCTGCATGCAGCTGCTCGGCCATGGAAGCCCATTCCAAGAAACCCCTAGCGCACAGGTTAATACCAGAGGAAGTTTGGAACTCTGCAGTTACTGAGTCAACAGAGCGTTGGCGAGTTTTACGCACTATGCGCCTCAGCCCTCAGCGACCCACTGTTACTTTACGTGGTCTGACACTTTGTGACTGAGTTTCTCTTGTTCCTAAACGCTTCCACTTTGCAATGATACCACTTACAGATGACTGTGGAATATCTAGCAGGGAAGAAATTTCATCAACTGACTTATTGCAAAGGTGTCATCCTATAATAGCACCACACTTAAATTCACTGAGCTCTTCAGAACAACGCATTCTTTCACAAATGTTTGTAAACCTGACCACATGGCTAGGTGCTTGATTTTATACACCTGTGGCAATGGGACTGAATGAGTGATTAAGAGGTGTGTCCCAATACCTTTGTCCAAATAGAGCATATTAATGACAATTAAAATACATAAATGGAAGTAGCAGCACGGCATAAAGACTGACTGTAGTGACAGCTTACAGGTCATAAAACACATGTTGCTGATGGATCTGTGACAAGAGGATTAGCCTAAAAAACCTATTTATAATTACTGGTGTGACAAAAAGTATTATTTGGATCAGTATCCACAGAATAGAGAGTAAAAAAAAAGAAGAAGACATAGGTTCAAGGTCAGCTTAGTGAAAACCATATCTAGAGCTAGCTACAAAGCTATTGACATCAACCTACAGCAAACGTTTACATTTATTTATTTAGCAGGTACTTTTATCCAAAGCAACACACAACTGAGAAAGCAGGGGCAGTTGGTCCTTGGATCAACAAGGATTAAGGGCCTTGCTCAAGGACCCAATGGTGAAATCACTCTGCCAATGCTGGTATTTGAACCAGTGACTTTCTGATCACAAGCACAGAGTTCTAACCCACTGATCACATACCACCATACAAAACTCCCGGCCTGCCTGTAAGAATTCCTGTGCTACCTCCTACCTACTGTGTGCACCGAATCATATGAAATTGATTGTGGCGTTAATTCATTAAGTGGTGCTGGTGCTCGAGTGACGAAGCACGAATTTAAATTGTACAGCATCTACTGATTACACGCATTGTATATGCTGTGTACAATTCAAAGGACGACACTTTCATCTCTTCATCAGGCCAGAAAAATGCAACATTAGCAGCAGCCACACGAGGCAGAAGATCAAAGGTTGCAATTCAAGCCCACCTGCTATGTTTGACATTTTCACTTAATTAGCATTTATCATGAAACTAAACAAAACCCTCGATGACACTGACAACAGACACCCTGATTATAGTCCAAATCATTGTTCAACAAAGAAAAAAAAAGAATATAACAATTTAAAAAAACATAAAGTCTGTCATTTATGATTGAAGTCAAAGGGCCCAAAAAACGACGCTATTCCGGAAATATGTAAATATACTAGCTGTGAAGGTTTTAACAATCACCTTAAAAATATAAATATATATTTCCCACTCTCTATGTATGTATGTATGCATGTATTTATTTATTATTTATGATACAAAGTGAATTTTCTTTGATTTCACATCTCGTGTTTTAGACAAACACTCACATTTACTTCTCTGATGCGTGGTGACTTTGACATCTACCATAAGTCATTTTTTCCCCTTTTCCCCTCATTTTGTGTAAGCTTGTATTTCTAATGGTAAATCTGACATTTATCATAAAATAAGGGAGAATTATGACTGTAATGGTGCGGCCTGACAGACACCATGAGTCTGAGCGGCAGAGGCTGCCATTGCGGGGGGTTCGGGGGCGACATTAATGCGATTCGGATATGAGAGAGCGCCACTCCATCACGGCTTACGTGAACTTAACCGAGAGGAGCGGAGTTATCACTGCCAAAGTACGCAGGAACATGGCTGGTGAGCGGGACAAAAAAACGCTAACAAGGGTTAAACTGACAATCCAGCAGCTCGAGTGAAGTCTTAAGAAGGATACACAACACGATGAATGCAAACAACAGGTCTGTGTCTTCCCAGATTCAGAAACACATGGTGTAGAACGACAGCAGTAAATCAGAAGGTACAATTCAAAGAGGCTGATGCAACTACGGGAAGATTTAGACCTACCTCCACGGCAAACTGCTGCAGTCCACCGATGTTAATGGGACCTTCCTCCGAAGCGTAGAGATTGCAGCCCCCCACGCAGAGGTCAGACGTGGGACACACCATGCCGCATGTAAGCCCCAACGGGTTGTCCGACAGGATGGCCTTTGCTGCACCGTAGTAGTTCTGCAACAGACACATGTGCCCGATGCATATGAACAGGAAAGGTGCACAGGAAGCCACAAAGGGATTATCAGGGATCCTCAGAGGCCCTGAATGATTCCAGATACAAAGAACCAACTCCATACAAGTTAGGGTGCTAAGGAAGATTTCAAAAATTATTATAGAACTTTGGCACAAATTCTTCCCTTTCAAGCCAACCTGGGCAAGGAGATTTTTTTTTTAAGTAGAATAACACTTTAGCATCAGAGTTACAAAGTGGCAGCTGGCAGTACAGCCTAAGTATATCCGCGGCTTAAGACTTAATCTAATTCCACGTCTTCCGTGAAAGGTGGCACTGAGCGAAACTGCAACCCATTTCATGTAGAGGGGCGGCTTTTGACATTTGGCAGCTATTTCTTTCAATTCAATACATCCGTCCAATAACACCGACACCCTGGCTGGAGATGCTTCTGGTCAAGAAATAGCAGGTTGCCAAGGTGTCACAGGGAGCAGCTCCAGCCCAGTTCTTAAGTCCGAGGCCTTCGTTAGGTAGAACGCGTCATCATACCATAGCTTATTCCATTGATTTGGCAATAAAGGCATGTTAGGGGGGGCAGTGTATGACTCAGCGGGTTAGGGTGCTATGCCTATAATCAGAAGGTCACCAGTTTGAACCCCAGGGTTGGCAAAGTGATTTCACTCTTGGGCCCCTAACCGTGGCCCTTAACCCCAATTGCTCCAGGAACCCTGCATTCTCAAAAAAATAAACAAATAAATAAAGGCTAACAAAAAAAAATAGATAAAAGCTAATTTAATGTTTTGTATCTGTAATTAAGCAAGGCAATATCACCATGCTGGACCTGAAAAAAAATTGCTGCAAACGTTTACATAGCCCTGCATGTACTTTTCATTTTGAGGTTGCAGTTACAATGTTCCCCTGAAGACTCCTCTGCTTTGACGCCATATTAATATTTAGACTACTCAGACGGCAGTGCTCCATACATATTTTTTTTCTTTGTGAAATAGTTTACACATTCCATTTATTTTAAGAAGGGGTTTAAGTACCACTGTTGCATAAGAGCTTAAATTTTGAGCTAGGAGGCAAAACGTATCTCACTGTCACTGATGACTCCAAAAAAAGTGAAGCCCGCATTTATCTAGCAGCTGATTACTCATCAAGAATTCAGAAAGATTACACCCCCCACCCTCCCTTTCATTTCTGAAATCAGTGCCTAACTTGACTTTTGTACGGCAAATAGCGGGCAGAGAGGTTGCTGGATTTTTCAATTTAGTTTTCAACAAAACATTGTAACAAGCACTCCTAGGATAATGATGACTGAGGCCTTCTAGTATTTTTACAGGACGGCCATTCAATGGCCATAGCAGAGAAAAAGCTGAAGTTCACTTTCATTATCGTGTATGCTATCATTATGCCCTCCAACAAATTTCTGTATTTTATTTGCTCTAAACATTGTCATTTAATTCCCCTGTTCACACATAAGTGTTTACCGTTACCTAGTCAATGCACTGCGTTTATATTTATATACAGTATGAGGACTAAATGGGTCACAGGAAAAACTTAAAATTACAAAAGCAATAAAGTAACACATATTAAGACAAGCTCTGAAATACAATCAATGGCTGATTTCAATAAAGAAAAAAGCAGATTATTTTCTTTAAAAAGTGGATGCCTACCAAAAAGGGCTTTTGAATAAAATATTTGAATATTTCAGTAAAAACAATGTAGTTAATAATTTTCTTAAATTGATCTCTTTTGAAATATAATCTTCAAAGTTGTTCTTGCTTTCAACTTAATTTTATGAAAAAAATAAAAAATGTAAGAAACACTGAGAACTTGTATACAGAAGTTCAGAATTTTGTCTAATGTCTAAAGCAGTGTGGTTTAATTGACATGCCCTTTAAATAGAAAAGGTTACATTGACTATTTAAACAGATAAGACCTGTTTCAGAGTTTCAGCTGACCATTAGTTGTGTCGTACTTCATTAAAGTAAAACCATTAAGCCTTTCTGGCTATTTAATTAGAAAGTCTATATAATTGGTGCATGTCTACTCTGATTATCCTGGCAAAACAAAACAACATGAAAATGGACTTTAGTGAAGACAAAGAGACAACAGTACAGCTTTTCTTTTTGTTTTAAAACCCTGAGTTCAGAAGAAAGTCATATTTTATATCTTAAGCATAATTGTTGTTAAATTCAAATATGCAATATCAGCATGGTTATCTATTTTGAAAAATAATTAGTCTTGATGGTAACAGTCCTTTACGTGATACCAAGCAGTTCAAAGGGAAAGTTAACTTTTGCATTAAGTTTAATTCTTTAATTTTCAAGAAATATATTAATTATTAAAGGCCTGTTGAAAAAGCATTAATTGTATGTTTGAAAGTCGAAAGTTAGTATAAATCAGAAATTTAGAAAATTGCCTATAATACTTAACATACATAAAACATCAGAATATCATTTACTGATTTTGGTAAATTTGCCAGAGATAATATTACAAAACCAGTTCCTGCAATTTTTAAACCAAGATGGTCTGCCATCCTGGTTTCACTGAGAAATTCAAATCATTAGACTGTTCATTTGTGCAGTGAGGCCATGTGCTAGAAAATCGTGGAAAACAGTCTCAATAAGTTCGTCAACAGTTTTATTCAAAAATACAGATCGTGGTTAGATGGCAAAGGGTACATGTTAAACTTTGTACTTTGTACCTCATTCGCAGAAAAAGAACAGTGTATCCTTAGCTACAGCAATAGATGACGTTAAATGGTAATTAATAGCAACTCTAAGATTCCAGGATGTCAGTTTGCATCGTATAAAAAATTGTGTAGCTGCTTCCAGAATCAAGATAACAAAGACAAACAAACAAACAAGCAAACGAGCAAAAAAAAAAACAAATAAACAGACATCTTACCTTGTTAGTAATGCAACTAATGAAGGATTTAATGTCCAGATTGGTTGGGCAGCTTTTCTGACATGGTGCATCTGCACATTTAAGACACCTAAAAATAAAATAAGAAAATACATGTATTCACTTCACCACCTAAGACAGAACTGCCTCATCTAATACTGGACGTTTCCCTCCTAGCAAACAAGCAGATATAATTGGTGCATGCAGAATAATTGTATGAACATGTGCATTCTAAAAAGACTTTATGGATACACAAAGCTCCAAGAAAGCAAACTAGACAAACCTGCTTTTCCCACAGAAGAGAATTAAAGGAGAGTCAAGCGAGGGCTAATGCAAGGAAGAGGCATGTATTGGAATGGCGTTTTGTCTTTTTATTTTTTTTTTTTACAAAAAGTGAAAGTACCAAGAGAGGAAAAGAGATGGAGAGAGGGCCAGTGCAGCCAGCCTCCTGTAATAATACCGTCTTGCAATTCTCAGAGCTCACTGCGGACTAAAGTGCACATGGCTCCCATTAATACTACTTATCAAGCTGACAGAGGGGTAATTACAGGAGTAGCGAGTGCGGTGCGTTAGTACCACTGGAGGAGCAGCGGCCGCACAGGAAAGCACACCCGTAAGATGTTTTATTAAATCTGGGTGGTTGATCATCAAGTGACATTAGTGTTGACCTATTTTTGTATTTGACAATAAATTATCCCTTGCCCACAGCATAATAGATATTGCATCAGAGTCCCATCTAGCGGAACAGCCACCACTGCAACATAGGGAATGGTCGCGCAATGCAGACGTTAAGTTAAATGCTGCAGAGGTTTTATCCAGGAGCCTGTCTCTTCTCCAGGCTCAGCCTGATTAATATCACAGGGACAGATAAAAATAAATAAGTCGGTTTTAAAATAATGTGCCTCCGAACTTACCGTAAATAAAGGAATAAATGCACACACAAACACAATCTACTCCAGTAAGTTCATCAAAATATTTTGCCACTACTTAGATGTCAATGTTCAATTCCAAGAAAGTCCTGTTGCACTGCGGAATTTAAGCTTTGCAGGAATATAAAGATTTGTATTTAAACAGAGTACAGTAGTAATACCTTTTGCTCAGTTTTCTTTTTTTTTAAACTGATGCATCCCCCTTGCTGTCACTAGAGCTTAAAACCTTTGGATCTGGACCCCAGCCTCAGGTCACCTCCAGCCTTGCTGGTTTATTTTATTACATTGCAGCAATTGCATTAGGAGAAAAAAAGGAAAACAAAAAAAAAANTCTGATGCGTGGTGACTTTGACATCTACCATAAGTCATTTTTTCCCCTTTTCCCCTCATTTTGTGTAAGCTTGTATTTCTAATGGTAAATCTGACCTGTGTGATAAAATAAGGGAGAATTATGACTGTAATGGTGCGGCCTGACAGACACCATGAGTCTGAGCGGCAGAGGCTGCCATTGCGGGGGGTTCGGGGGCGACATTAATGCGATTCGGATATGAGAGAGCGCCACTCCATCACGGCTTACGTGAACTTAACCGAGAGGAGCGGAGTTATCACTGCCAAAGTACGCAGGAACATGGCTGGTGAGCGGGACAAAAAAACGCTAACAAGGGTTAAACTGACAATCCAGCAGCTCGAGTGAAGTCTTAAGAAGGATACACAACACGATGAATGCAAACAACAGGTCTGTGTCTTCCCAGATTCAGAAACACATGGTGTAGAACGACAGCAGTAAATCAGAAGGTACAATTCAAAGAGGCTGATGCAACTACGGGAAGATTTAGACCTACCTCCACGGCAAACTGCTGCAGTCCACCGATGTTAATGGGACCTTCCTCCGAAGCGTAGAGATTGCAGCCCCCCACGCAGAGGTCAGACGTGGGACACACCATGCCGCATGTAAGCCCCAACGGGTTGTCCGACAGGATGGCCTTTGCTGCACCGTAGTAGTTCTGCAACAGACACATGTGCCCGATGCATATGAACAGGAAAGGTGCACAGGAAGCCACAAAGGGATTATCAGGGATCCTCAGAGGCCCTGAATGATTCCAGATACAAAGAACCAACTCCATACAAGTTAGGATGCTAAGGAAGATTTCAAAAATTATTATAGAACTTTGGCACAAATTCTTCCCTTTCAAGCCAACCTGGGCAAGGAGATTTTTTTTTTTAAGTAGAATAACACTTTAGCATCAGAGTTACAAAGTGGCAGCTGGCAGTACAGCCTAAGTATATCCGCGGCTTAAGACTTAATCTAATTCCACGTCTTCCGTGAAAGGTGGCACTGAGCGAAACTGCAACCCATTTCATGTAGAGGGGTGGCTTTTGACATTTGGCAGCTATTTCTTTCAATTCAATACATCCGTCCAATAACACCGACACCCTGGCTGGAGATGCTTCTGGTCAAGAAATAGCAGGTTGCCAAGGTGTCACAGGGAGCAGCTCCAGCCCAGTTCTTAAGTCCGAGGCCTTCGTTAGGTAGAACGCGTCATCATACCATAGCTTATTCCATTGATTTGGCAATAAAGGCATGTTAGGGGGGGCAGTGTATGACTCAGCGGGTTAGGGTGCTATGCCTATAATCAGAAGGTCACCAGTTTGAACCCCAGGGTTGGCAAAGTGATTTCACTCTTGGGCCCCTAACCGTGGCCCTTAACCCCAATTGCTCCAGGAACCCTGCATTCTCAAAAAAATAAACAAATAAATAAAGGCTAACAAAAAAAAATAGATAAAAGCTAATTTAATGTTTTGTATCTGTAATTAAGCAAGGCAATATCACCATGCTGGACCTGAAAAAAAATTGCTGCAAACGTTTACATAGCCCTGCATGTACTTTTCATTTTGAGGTTGCAGTTACAATGTTCCCCTGAAGACTCCTCTGCTTTGACGCCATATTAATATTTAGACTACTCAGACGGCAGTGCTCCATACATATTTTTTTTCTTTGTGAAATAGTTTACACATTCCATTTATTTTAAGAAGGGGTTTAAGTACCACTGTTGCATAAGAGCTTAAATTTTGAGCTAGGAGGCAAAACGTATCTCACTGTCACTGATGACTCCAAAAAAAGTGAAGCCCGCATTTATCTAGCAGCTGATTACTCATCAAGAATTCAGAAAGATTACACCCCCCACCCTCCCTTTCATTTCTGAAATCAGTGCCTAACTTGACTTTTGTACGGCAAATAGCGAGCAGAGAGGTTGCTGGATTTTTCAATTTAGTTTTCAACAAAACATTGTAACAAGCACTCCTAGGATAATGATGACTGAGGCCTTCTAGTATTTTTACAGGACGGCCATTCAATGGCCATAGCAGAGAAAAAGCTGAAGTTCACTTTCATTATCGTGTATGCTATCATTATGCCCTCCAACAAATTTCTGTATTTTATTTGCTCTAAACATTGTCATTTAATTCCCCTGTTCACACATAAGTGTTTACCGTTACCTAGTCAATGCACTGCGTTTATATTTATATACAGTATGAGGACTAAATGGGTCACAGGAAAAACTTAAAATTACAAAAGCAATAAAGTAACACATATTAAGACAAGCTCTGAAATACAATCAATGGCTGATTTCAATAAAGAAAAAAGCAGATTATTTTCTTTAAAAAGTGGATGCCTACCAAAAAGGGCTTTTGAATAAAATATTTGAATATTTCAGTAAAAACAATGTAGTTAATAATTTTCTTAAATTGATCTCTTTTGAAATATAATCTTCAAAGTTGTTCTTGCTTTCAACTTAATTTTATGAAAAAAATAAAAAATGTAAGAAACACTGAGAACTTGTATACAGAAGTTCAGAATTTTGTCTAATGTCTAAAGCAGTGTGGTTTAATTGACATGCCCTTTAAATAGAAAAGGTTACATTGACTATTTAAACAGATAAGACCTGTTTCAGAGTTTCAGCTGACCATTAGTTGTGTCGTACTTCATTAAAGTAAAACCATTAAGCCTTTCTGGCTATTTAATTAGAAAGTCTATATAATTGGTGCATGTCTACTCTGATTATCCTGGCAAAACAAAACAACATGAAAATGGACTTTAGTGAAGACAAAGAGACAACAGTACAGCTTTTCTTTTTGTTTTAAAACCCTGAGTTCAGAAGAAAGTCATATTTTATATCTTAAGCATAATTGTTGTTAAATTCAAATATGCAATATCAGCATGGTTATCTATTTTGAAAAATAATTAGTCTTGATAGTAACAGTCCTTTATGTGATACCAAGCAGTTCAAAGGGAAAGTTAACTTTTGCATTAAGTTTAATTCTTTAATTTTCAAGAAATATATTAATTATTAAAGTTGAATAAGCATTAATTGTTGCATGAATCCTGTTGAAAAAGCATTAATTGTATGTTTGAAAGTCGAAAGTTAGTATAAATCAGAAATTTAGAAAATTGCCTATAATACTTAACATACATAAAACATCAGAATATCATTTACTGATTTTGGTAAATTTGCCAGAGATAATATTACAAAACCAGTTCCTGCAAGTTTTAAACCAAGATGGTCTGCCATCCTGGTTTCACTGAGAAATTCAAATCATTAGACTGTTCATTTGTGCAGTGAGGCCATGTGCTAGAAAATCGTGGAAAACAGTCTCAATAAGTTCGTCAACAGTTTTATTCAAAAATACAGATCGTGGTTAGATGGCAAAGGGTACATGTTAAACTTTGTACTTTGTACCTCATTCGCAGAAAAAGAACAGTGTATCCTTAGCTACAGCAATAGATGACGTTAAATGGTAATTAATAGCAACTCTAAGATTCCAGGATGTCAGTTTGCATCGTATAAAAAATTGTGTAGCTGCTTCCAGAATCAAGATAACAAAGACAAACAAACAAACAAGCAAACGAGCAAAAAAAACCCAAATAAACAGACATCTTACCTTGTTAGTAATGCAACTAATGAAGGATTTAATGTCCAGATTGGTTGGGCAGCTTTTCTGACATGGTGCATCTGCACATTTAAGACACCTAAAAATAAAATAAGAAAATACATGTATTCACTTCACCACCTAAGACAGAACTGCCTCATCTAATACTGGACGTTTCCCTCCTAGCAAACAAGCAGATATAATTGGTGCATGCAGAATAATTGTATGAACATGTGCATTCTAAAAAGACTTTATGGATACACAAAGCTCCAAGAAAGCAAACTAGACAAACCTGCTTTTCCCACAGAAGAGAATTAAAGGAGAGTCAAGCGAGGGCTAATGCAAGGAAGAGGCATGTATTGGAATGGCGTTTTGTCTTTTTATTTTTTTTTTTTACAAAAAGTGAAAGTACCAAGAGAGGAAAAGAGATGGAGAGAGGGCCAGTGCAGCCAGCCTCCTGTAATAATACCGTCTTGCAATTCTCAGAGCTCACTGCGGACTAAAGTGCACATGGCTCCCATTAATACTACTTATCAAGCTGACAGAGGGGTAATTACAGGAGTAGCGAGTGCGGTGCGTTAGTACCACTGGAGGAGCAGCGGCCGCACAGGAAAGCACACCCGTAAGATGTTTTATTAAATCTGGGTGGTTGATCATCAAGTGACATTAGTGTTGACCTATTTTTGTATTTGACAATAAATTATCCCTTGCCCACAGCATAATGGATATTGCATCAGAGTCCCATCTAGCGGAACAGCCACCACTGCAACATAGGGAATGGTCGCGCAATGCAGACGTTAAGTTAAATGCTGCAGAGGTTTTATCCAGGAGCCTGTCTCTTCTCCAGGCTCAGCCTGATTAATATCACAAGGACAGATAAAAATAAATAAGTCGGTTTTAAAATAATGTGCCTCCGAACTTACCGTAAATAAAGGAATAAATGCACACACAAACACAATCTACTCCAGTAAGTTCATCAAAATATTTTGCCACTACTTAGATGTCAATGTTCAATTCCAATGAAGTCCTGTTGCACTGCGGAATTTAAGCTTTGCAGGAATATAAAGATTTGTATTTAAACAGAGTACAGTAGTAATACCTTTTGCTCAGTTTTCTTTTTTTTTAAACTGATGCATCCCCCTTGCTGTCACTAGAGCTTAAAACCTTTGGATCTGGACCCCAGCCTCAGGTCACCTCCAGCCTTGCTGGTTTATTTTATTACATTGCAGCAATTGCATTAGGAGAAAAAAAGGAAAACAAAAAAAAAATAACCAAAGTGCACTGCAGCTTACTGAGCCAAACAAGAGCAACAGTAGGCCAGACAGGAGCATCATACTTCAGGAAGTCGCAAAAACATAAATGAAATGAACCATTTACACAGAAACTTACAATTTGTTTTAACCTTGGATGTGATCACAAAAATATAAATACTTTATTATAAAATACTAAATATCATACGCAACCACAACAATGAAGTTTTGTTCAAATTAGTATAATATGTGACTATTCAAATACTGATTCCAGTAAATTAACTGTTGCAATCTTTCATCAAACATGGATCCTGATTGCAATCCATATGCACCCCTCAACATATACCAGTGATTGTTCTGGTTTTATAAGAATAATTGAAATACAAGATCAGTTAATTTTACAACCATTCTAAATGTATATTTATGGTGTATACAGTACTACAGGCACATCTAAAGTATTCTAGCTAGCTCCGTTCAATTTTTATTAAAATTAATAATTATCAATATAGATGAAACAATACATTGAATATTAAACAGATAATATGGTGGTGTTTTATTAAAAGAAATAAGAAAAACAATTAAGATTTAGAAACTAAATACAAACTATTAAGAGGCTTAGAACTAATGGGAAGAGACCAAAACACTAATTCTAAGAAAAGAGATCAAGCACACAAACATCATACAATAAAAACCCTATGCATGGAAAACCTAGTATGTAAGATTCTCAGTGAAGAACAATTAAAGATTTACAGAAACCTGAAGGGGTAGATCACAAAGAACCCAAAAGAAAAATAACCTGTTTACCGTTCCATCATATAAAGCTAATGTTGGCTTTATATTGGAAAGATTTTTTCCCCTGCTTTTTCCTCTCAAGGTAACATTAACGCCACAGGATGATACAGCTACATTTTAGACCCTCATTCATCTCCCCGGCCAGCCGTCCAAGTGCATGGTAAATGTCAACAGAAAATAATGCGCACACAAAGGCAGTCTTATTTGTTCAGGAATTGCCCTGGGTCACAGTAATTCAGGCAGGCACACAGAGCACCCTCACAAAAGAACATTTCTGAGTTCTGCACCTTCGGAGCGACACCTGTGGTTTCCAGCGCATAATAAAATCAAGTTACTATACGACTTATTTCCCTGAGTGTTCACACAAAGCAGTTCCATGGCTTCCCAGCTCCCATCTATGAATGAGGCATTTCACACACTTTGTGCATATTCCAGGGCAATACAAACCCTTTGTGCGTACGTCTGCCTAATTATGTAATTCATGTTTTTTCGATGCCTATGCATTCAAACAGTCATACAGCAGCGAAAGAACCAAAGAGTTCGGTAAAACAGAACCTTTCTGAAGGTCTACGGCAGCGGCTCAAACAGGAAGACCTTAGTCAACCATGTTGTTTTAATGTTAATACCCGAAATAAGTATTTCCAGCTGTGCTTTTAAATGACAATTTTGTATTTATTTATTCGTTCTTTCAGATTAGTAAACCGTCATCAATGCAAAAAAGGAAGACTTCAAAATCAGCTATCAATCATCATAACGATCTATATGAGGCATCCAGTTCTATGCATTTAAAACAATTAAAACATTCATTTACAAATGCCAAGATGGGTGCAGAAGGTTAAATGTGCTGTCAAAGGTGTCCTACTGAGGTACAGCTTTAAAAAGACTATTAAAATAATGGCTACTGATTGAGCCATTTGCACTAACAGCATCTGAAAGTGTTAAAATCAACTGATAATATCCCATTATAATCGCAATATTCTTAACATGCAAAGGCAACGCAATTTGAAAGAAAGCAGTGACTTTTGATGAGAACAACAAATTAGCCGTAAAGGTCATTCCTTAATCAGAATTGCTAATATATCATTTTCATTGTCATTGTCAGCGTGAGGAAGAAGGGAATTACATTTCCAAATCAACAATTAACACTTACACTGCAGAATTTAAAAAAAAATGTTCAAGCAAATTAAATTCACAGCATTCACTTGAAAACAGCTTAAGGGCAAAAACGGGAATATAAATTACTCAAGAATTTTCTTAAAAAAAAAAAAATTGTTAAAAAAAGGATGCAACCAAGAAGTTTTATTGGAAAACAATAAAAAAGACACCTGAAGAATATTTCACCATATTTTAATTCTTAGCAGTGAATATAACACACTATACTCATATAGTAAAACACTATACTCATATAGTAAATATATATTTCTGTAACATATACACAAGACTGAAAGTTCTGACACTGGGATCCATTAAAAAAGATTCTCCCACTTCAGAAACAAAAAAGACACATTTAAAGTAGTCTCAGAGTCATTTTATAAAGAGTTTTTTGACTGATGGCCACATCTGCAATTTTACTCTTTACCCCAAATAATCCCGATGAAATGCCATTTCTCACCAGCTCCTGGCCGCAGAGAGCAGAAATGAGGCAGCACTGAGATGCAGTTATAGCACAGAAACAGCTCTCGTTAAAACTGTCAAAGATATCTTGCAATCTTCTGACAGTTGTCCCTTTAGTTTCACTTCCTCGCCTTTACAATTGTAAGCCACCACAATCTTTTTATCAATCCTTATGGTGCCATTGGCTCAAAGGCAGAAGAAATAGAGACCTGTCAAAGTCATGTTAAAGTAATGTATATCAATTTGTGGCTCAAGGGTCAGTCTTGGGGCTTTTCCCTTTCTGCCTCATTATTAGTAAACGTGGATGTAATTTTACCTGCCATGCAGAAAACCTACCACTAGAAGTCAGTAGCTAGGGGAGGATATTTCCACAAAAGGCTGAAGCTTATCGAATTTCCAGATCACGGATTTACAGCAACTCAAGTTCCAGCATTAATTTATTACTATTTTTTTTTTTGTGAAGTGCAACCATAAATTAATACTGAACATAGTTAAAATAGCTAATCAATGACAGTTTATCAAACCGAAAACAGACAATAAACCTCATTAGCGAGGTGTACATAGTATGACTTCCAGCTTTTAATATAACATTTAAAAATTATTTTGGGTGACAAAATTGGGCGACACTGTGCAATATTTCCAGAGCACTGGGCTCAAAGTGGCATCACTTTGCCGGTAGAGTTTGCCTGTTTACCAAATAAGGGATTTTTTATATATATTTAAATTCAAATTCAAAATAACTTTATTTGGCAATTAAAGGCACACAGGGCAGTTGAGCAAGGACACAAATGACATAAAGTGCAAGAGTAATTGCAATATATATATATATTGGAACATTTATTTATATATGTATACATACATATATACATATACTGTATATACATACATATATACATATATATATATATATATATATATATATATACACATATATATACACTCACACATTAAAATCTAAGTGCATTCTAACAAGGATCACATATGCTATGTAGGTATAGCACAGTGGTAGCAAAATTGCCAAAAAGAACATAAAAGCAAGAAAAAAAGGTACATTAATAAACCAAAAAAGAATAAAGATATGATGGAGATGTTCACTGTGCACATCAAACATAATAACAGACATGAGGAATCCAGGCAAGGAGAAGAGCTTTATGGCATGTTTGGCGGTTTCCACAGGAATCCCTAGAGCTGTCCTCGTATGGAAGCCAACACAGGACCCAACAGGGACAGCAAACAGCAGCATGCAAACGGGGACAATGCACGGTGCTATCAGCACAGGCAGATGGAGAAGGTTAAAGAGATGCCCTTCAACTCCACTGTGGTTACAGCACAATCACCCCAACAGCTCCACTCAACAAACCCTGACTGCAACACAACAACATTCCACATGCAGTGCAGGCAGACATACAGCTGTGCTTGTAATGGTATAAAGGCTGACTATACCAGAGGCATCGCAAATGTGTGCCATCCTTCTTTTGCTCTGTTCTTATTTCAACAGTAGTGTTCCTCACGCTACTGCTTTCACAAATCACCTTGGCAATTTAATAACGATCATATTCATAAGTATTTCAGTACCCTTTAAGATGAAATTTGACTTTAAAATCACGACAAACTGTTTATTCAGCAATGTCTTACACGTCAAACAAAAATTTTTCAAAAGGCAGTCCTCATAAAGATCTTGTGGAGATGTCACTAGGGGACATTGAGTTATTTTTTTACATTTTTTATTGGACTGCTGTGAAGTGTTTTAAGTACCCATAAAATTGCCAGTACGCTTCTGACATCAAAAACACCAGTGACAAGTATTTTTGACCAGTTCTATGTATTTGTAAAACCATTCCCAGATCATGGAATTTGCATTAAAAAGCAAAAAAAAAAGGAAAAGAAAAGGAAAAGTTTCTCTTTCTAGAATATAATCCTAACATTTTAATATTCATGCATGCCATATTCCATATTCCATATTCTTGTAAACAAACCATTTGAGTGCAAATAGTAACACGAAGCGCAACAAATGATCAGAACAGTTACCTGCAGAGGACAGCAGAGAGCAGCATTAGGGAGAATTATGCACACCATGCACACAACAGTCTGCACAGAGGTAAATTACAAAACACACCATCTGTGCCACTGTTATTACAGGCTGTTACATGTTTTTAACATCCTATTTAACAATCATGGTAAAAATAAAATACAATACAAATATTTATGAGAATAATGCAAATGATCATAAAAAATACTTTTTTTTCTTAATCTAATGAGGATTTATCCTCAAATTTAATCACCCAGAAACGAAGGTCAATGCCCGATGACAAGGCCAGCTGGTGCCAATCAATGAGATGTTCCTTCGGTCCTTGTGCTCCTCCGGCGAGTCACTCAAATCGGAGAAGGGCTTAAAGGGGTAAATGCATCGCAAAATTGTTTTTAAAAAAATGAATAAATAACCAGTAGCAGCCTCATCAAGGAGAGCCAGGTTTATGGGATGGCCACCATCCATCTCCAGCCAGCCCCATGGCATCTGCACTATTCGCTCATTCTGACGGTCGGCCCAGTTGATTAGGACACGGACACGAATATGCAGCATCTTTCCATGCCACGCGGGGCATGCGACGGCATTCATTAGCGCTCCCGGATTGATGGCCTTTCCTTTGAGGCCCCCGCACTGTCTATCCGTGTCGCCTGCCACCCCCTCTTTGCCCTTGTCAAGCGCAGGTCAGCGTTTCACACCAGCCAATGATGAAACATTCATTCCCTCACCCTACATTTTTATACAGCATTTGCTGGTGATAAACGATATGAAAAGGGCTGCGGCTTCACAGTGTCAGCAGTGTTTTCATGGTGTCACAGTGTCACATGATATAACATGCATACAGTCCTGACACACGCTGCAGAATATGCTAATATTTGATTGGTGGTTCTCTGTGTTTTTAATCATATGGTTGGCTGCTCTCCATACACTTTACACTGCATTATTACTAAGCTGAGAGTAATTATGACCAAGTTTCCCAATTAAGAAAAAAGGGGGAAATAATCATCACAGAACAAAACATGCTTAAGAAAAAACTATGTTTTGCTTCTTTTCCAGGGAATTTATTTGTAAATATATAAAAAGTTTATCAGTGATACACCGATACACCCACATCTTCCGAAATCATTCTCATACAATGGCAGTAAATAACCATACAATTTACATAGCACTGCAGGCATAACAAATATTACATACTGTACAAGTGCTAACCTTCCATCTTAATTTTTTCATCAGATATTGAGCTTCAAGAAAGATCTATAGTAATTCACTATCCAGATCACTGATACTTACAAAAGGCTGAAAAAATAATGCCAGTAATACAGCTGAAACTAAATACCTTGAGGAAATCAGACCACCGGGAACATACCGGAAACACCCTTTCATTGAGGTAGAACACATTAATTCCTGGGGAAAAGAAGTTTCCTTTAACTAGCTCCATATTGATAAAAAAAAGCTGATATTATTACTAAGGGAATAGTGAATATTTCATATGTTAAGGGAAATACCAGAATATGTTTAAGCCCCTTGTGTGCCATGAGTATGTCACTGGCTATATTGCATAATTATTTGCTCGTAAATTACAGTATATACTTTCTACTTTCCATTCCAAGGCAAATAAGGAATCTGATTGTCAGAGTCACACCATTTCTTAGCTCCTGAGCAGTAGACCATAAAGCTTAAACTTTCTTATGATCATTTGCAGATAAAGGCTTGCTGTTCAGACTTTGATGTCCAACGCTATTAGCTTTTTTTGGTGGGGGAATCCAATTCTTTCATCAAATTTGTTGCACAGCTCAGTGGGGGGTCAGCTACAAAGGAATTAAATCAGTTGAATGTTAATGGATCTCCATTTTCACCATGCAGGCTTTAAGGTGGTTGGTGTTTGTGTTTGTTGAATTTGTCAGGGAAAATTGCTTGGCGCAAGTTATCCATTTTTTACACATACACATGTTAGGAAGATATGCATCTTCTATGAAGTCTTCAAAAGTCTGGAAAATAGCTTACGATCACTCATAATAAATATCCAGCTAATTATTTTTGGTTATGTTTGTCTGTTGCCAATGACATATTCCTGTTTAAGATGCCTAGATTTCAGATAAAGATTACATTGATTAACATGCAGGTGCTGTAATCCTATTCTATTAAAAAACAAACAAAATGAGGACTCTTATACCTATGAACCGCTTAGCAGTTTGTACTTTAGATAACTCAAAATAATTCATAGATAGATTCATAGCAATACACCAATTAAAAAAAGAAAGGTAAAACATTTTTATTGCAATCTAGCGACAATAAACACAGAATCGTCAACATTTTTCAAATACTGTAAAGCTAGGCTATCTAATGGCACTGAGAGGATGTTTCCATTGTCTACAAACGTAACATACATGTGACCATTTATCTTGATATCACAAACACTCGATATTTACCTACATAATATGCAAAATCCTTCACTCACCACCTTCAGGAATCAAAACAAACATAAACAAACTGTGACTTTCTTCAACCAAACCTGGAATCTAAGTACCAACCAAAGCTGTTCACTCCCTGTTCTCTCAAACGTTCTGACATCGCGATACTGGAAGCCAGCTGACAGCTCACCATCAATTTCACTTATTGATAACGAACATTCCTGTCTTACTGTAGCCTTCACACACTGTGGTGTACTGTACCAATGGAATCACGGTGGCGTTAGCAGGTTCGTAAGAAATCATGGGCTGAGATTTTAAACAAAGTGCAACATCCTTTCAGATGCAGAGCTGAAAAATATATCACATAATAGAATAACTTTTATATTAAAACTAAATTAATTGACTGTTTAATTTAAAGATCAGAGTAACAGTCACCCATATCAGGCAAATTTTAATAAAATAACTTATGAAAAAAGACACAAACATATAGACATACAACTATATTTCCAGCTCGAAAATGAATTGATTCATCAGCTGGACCTTCTTCATATAACTATAATAGCCGATAATTAGACAAAAAGAGTACAAAATCACATCATGACGGCACGCAGTGCTTTTATTTAAAATGATTAAACCTTTTAAATACTTAATGCAAGGAGTATCCATTTTTATGTGACTGGAGGTCAAGATATCATCTAAATTGCAGTGATATTAATATAAGATATGTGCATGAGCTACTACCTTTTGACTTGTACAAAATCAAATATTGTATGGCTTCAAATAAAGGCATCAAACGCAAGTCCCACAAGTTACCATTAAGCGAAAGCAAACAGAAAATAAAATACCTGTACAATTAATACATACATATATGTGTCAAGGCATAAAAGACCTCTTCGGAATAAGCTGTGAGAAATTTTAAAATATAAAATAAACACTGAAGGGCTTTACAGTGCTTTACCACCTTTACTGTGGCCTCAAACATAAGGCCACAGGGATATACCACTGAGAGTGAAGCTGAACGCTGCAATAAACTAATATGTTCCCCAAAAATGAAGAGTTTTTTTTTGCCCAATCTTTGACTGTTTCCATGGTGACCCTGTCATACCTCATTGCTTCTCGGAGTGCTCCTCGCTCACTCAGAGTCGTGTGTTTGATGTCATCAAAATTGTTCTCCAGTTTCATGCAGGTCTGTTATTAAAAAAAAAAAAGTAGCGTCTGGTAAGGTAAAGATTTTATTTATTTATTTATTTTTGCTCGCTAAACTATGTGGAAATCACAAACAATGTGGAAATCTCTTTTTTTTCTCCCCAGCCTATGGAAAACACTCGTGCAAATCAGGTGGCTTTGTGATTAATCAAAAATGGCGATGTGAACTTGTGGGTCAAAGAAAAGTCCCTCCTTTGTTCGGCGTGCTGTTGCCATGGTAATGCTCTTATCAATTTCCTAACCCTGGAGTAAGTGTCAGGATGGAAAAACGTCTGTTGTTATTGACACACTCATAATTAGTGCAGAGCTGCCCCTGCCCCCCCCCCACAGAACACAGAGTGAGGGCCCAAAAATATCCTTTCTGCTAGTTAAATTCCAAACAGTCACAATAAAACCACACATTCCATTCGACTGATTAGGTAACATTTTCTTTGGTCCTTAAATATTACAATAATGTAACATTACTAGGTATTTATACCCTTAATCCCAAATCATTTAATACAAGACAGGAGGCTATTTGATCTGAAGATTATCACAAAAATATCAACTTTTGCTGATAGCCGTTGCATGGTAAAGTTAACTATACTCACAGATTCTGGAATAGGAAAATAATTTTTTGAAAGGCAAACATTTTCGTATATGTATAAGCTGAAGAACAAAGCAAAACAGACGTAAGACACTCACTAGATCAGGTGTCAAGGAGTTAACGAATGTACACCTAAGCAAAATGCTTTTTTCATTCTGAGTAAGAAAAATGTACAACAAAAGTAGCCTGAGGCTTCAAATATAGGTTTTATGTTGTAATGTTAAAATGTATTTTCTAGAGTACTTTATTGGTTCTTCAGCTGTGTTTGTGTTCAACACAAAAAGATAGTTACATTTTACACATGTCAGTACATTTTATAAAATGTATAATTTATCATATGTGTTTAATTTACAAATGTTAATTTATATTTAGTTTTACACATTTAAATATGTTTTAACTATTGTTCATAGCAAAAACACATATAAATGTTGGACGTATGTATGAAATACACAAGCTTAAATATTTCGAAACCAAATTTTGTACACAACTAGTTAATAAAATATTAAAGAAAACATGTATTTCTAAAAGTAAAAGTTAATTGATGCTGAGATCTTACTAGATGTTTGCGAAATTTTAATTTCAAGTAAGCAGTATTAACGCAAATCATTTAGAACTGTGATATGGCAATGCCCCCGCCCCCAACCCCCCACCAGCTAAGAGACAAGGTTAGATGGAAATACAAATGCAACTAATACAATTTAGCGCCGGACACACTTAACTGACTTAAGAAGATCTGCTCGCTGCAACCACAATGCAAAATTAATGTGCATGTCATTTCCCATTTCCCAGCCCATTCAGGATATTACCTCACTTTGTAAATACAGTTAGCTGACTAGACATAAAACACTTGGTATATCCACTGAAAAGCATGCAAATTTGGTGAGACAGGATCTTTAACATAATTCATTCGATACCCTCTTTCTCCCTCAGCACGGAACACTTATGGTACATAAACCAATCTGCGCAGCAAACTCTATTTATAAGCTGAAATCCTCTGTATGCTGAATTGTGCTTAAATACAGCGATTCTTTGCAATCCATGTGTGGGAACCGAAGAGGATCCACTCAAGCTCTTGTCTTGTCACCCAGTAGCTGTTTAATAAACTCCATTCACTAACGACACTGAATTTCCACATAAGGCTACCTTTCACTCTATGATTTGGCTATTCTAAAAAGCAACTTGTGTGTGTGTGTGTGTGTGTGTGTGTGTGTGTATATATATATATATATATATATATATTGTATATACAAATAAATAAAAGCAAACCTTAAGTATTTTAAGTATTCTTTAAATACTTTTTAACTTAACGTGCTTAATGGGATAAAATAAGGTCAAAAATTACCCACATTCATTTGTGTCAGGGCTGCACACTGTGAAGAATCTATTTAGTTTATTTTATTCTGATGTTGCGATATTTGTTATAGAGACAACCCTCTCTTCAACATGCAAAACTTTTAATGAGCAATCTGTCTTCTTATTGCCTTACTCCTTTAGACATGATTAATTTACTTATATATCAAAATGATTGAATGGATCATTTGTTCCTTGTTTTACTTGATCAATATCTCCTCAATAGTGAGATATAAACCTGGCACACTCATTAAATGGACCTCATCCATAACACAATACACGTATTTGAGAAAGGTAGGTGATTTTTTTTTTTTAACTGTGAGTTCAGGAATTTCAAGCTTAAAAATAATTTCCCCTGCGTTCACTAATCGTCCTTAGAATGCACTCAGAACGTAAGAAAGTCACGTTTGATATTGAACATAAACCTTGTCAAAGCGATTTTGCATTTTAAGATGCAAGTGCACGGCAATAAATTAAATTTCAGTTTTAACCTCGGTGTGCTTTGTTCTATAAATAATTCCTGGCTGTTGCATTTTTATTGCATAATGTAACTGTCAAAAAATGTTCATATCAAAGCTATTTTTTACAGATCATCCAATCTGGATAAACCTACAGAATGTCAAAACAGTTAATATGAATATTCAATTTAAATATATATAAAAATTATACAATTCAATTCCAAATTAGTATTGCTGTGTAGCCTTCAGTTTGTGCATGTCCTCAACCACCATGCATGATCAACATACCCTAAACGAAATGCTCCAGAACAACATTTACGGAGGAAAAAAAAGTATTAGTTGATAGAGCGTTCAGGCAACAAACTTAAATGACATACATTGTAATATTAATGGTTCTGCTGTGTAAATATGGTGATCTGCTTATAATTTATTTAACATTTTTACTTATGAATCTTTCATTTTTCTAGGTACATGAATGTCATAGTTGTGGTTTCTACATCTGTCAGTAATGTAAGCCTTATAGTGATAACTTAATTTTCTGCAACAAAAGAGAACCTCAATGGATTTTAAAGATCTATATAAATATCCATAGTGTTTTAGAAGAGGAAAAAGGTCCTTTTTGATGCTTGTACAAGCGTGAAAAAAAAAAATCAAAGAAGAGACACTTACATCGCAGCCTTTCTCTGGGTTTCTCTTCCAAAGCTTCTTTTCCGTTTTCTTTGAGGTTGTAGAACAGATAGCAGCATGATTCTTCACTCTGGGATTTAACGCCAGGATATTCTGTAAAATACAAAGCATGTCAAAAAATAAATAAATAAAGCAGGTCAAATTCAGGAACACCAAAGGGACTGTAAATCTGTTAATTAGGTGAAGTTCATTTTAATTGTTTTACACTATCCTAAATTAGGGGTACTTAAGACTTGTTCCTGTGGGCCTCAATTTATGCAAGCTCTTCATTCTGTCCTTGTTGTATCTCATTTAACTGATTTACCAAAAAAAAGGTCATTTTTGCTTATCAAAAACTAAGCTGAAGTCACACATTTCTCAAAATAGAGGTGTCACTTCTGCAAGCTATTACAAATGGTTGCATCTTAATTTCTACACAAAATTCACATTTACAGCAGGGGTTTATCTGCTTGGTAACGTGTAATTAGTTCCTTGATGAGGGTTGTGACCAAAGCCCACACACACACACACACACACACACACACTTCTGCTCTTGTAGGAATGGCAAATTAAGTAGCTCTGCTCTACCTGAATCCGACAGATTGGACTGCCCCTTAAACAAAACGCTCAGAGACACACCTGCCAGCAGGAAGGGGCAAAAAGCCAACACCTCCTGCCCCGTCACCCCCTGTCTAAGGGGCAACAACTAATAAAGTGGCTTCTGGACCAGACCAAGAGGTTGAAGGTGAAAGTCCCAAGCAGAAGGACCATCTGTTAAAGGCAGAAATAACTAAGCAAAGTGTCACAGCCCATCTTCAAGATTCTGTTTTAGATATACTTAACTGCTCAATACTGAATTACCAAAGCTAATAATTAAAATGAATACAAATACTTGAATTATAATGAATGTTTGTTCAGCTACACAATATAAAACGATTAAAGTTTCTGTCCAGTTTGCACTAGTGGCCAAAACTGTGGAAACACATAGCATTTTTGGCATTAACCCTCAGCTTCTTCATCTATAAGCCTTCCAGACTCTTACAGTCAGGATAGGAAGTCAAAGGCTGATACAGAACAGCACAGTGCACAAGGTTGGGGTTAGGGTACCCTAACCCTAACCCCTCAGAAGACACACACACACACGCACGCACATGTCATGTACACGCACACACACACACGCACACACAGGTTAGTAATTATATCTTTGTGGGGACTCTGCAATCATTCCTAGGAAAACACTAATCCCCAACATGGCGACCTTAACCCCTACCTATCCCTAACCTTAACTATAAGTAACTAAACAAAATACGAGACTTCTGGCATTTTTTCTTTTTTGATTGCATTCACAGATCTCTGAGTGGACCAGAAAAATGGTCCCCACCATGTCAAAAAGACAGGTTTTAATTGCATTGTGGGGGACATTTGGTAAACTAAATCCACCTACACACACGCACATTACGTATCTATATCTTTGTGGGGTCTCTAAATTAATTTCTTTGGGCATAACCCTAATCCCAACATTGACAACCTTACCCATAACCCCTACCCAGCCGTAAACTTAACCATAAGTAACAAAACAAAATATAAGACTTTTGGTTATTTTAGTTTTTTGATTGCAATCACAGATTTTTATAAAACAGAGTTTCCCCTTGTGGGGACCAAAGCAGGTTTTTATCACATTTACTGTAAAGCACTTCATCCCTACAATGTAATCTGTACATGACCCTGCACACACACAAACAAACCCCCCCCCCACACACACACATACATACACACACACACGTGCAAATGCACATTTACTTATTTTCTAACCACTGAATGTGTATCCTGTCAGCCTATATTGGCTATCACTCTCCTACTCTAACAATAAGAAAAACCAAAATTGGTGTTATCTTGTTACTTAAGTGGCTATTGCTTGGACACTGATCTTCTTTTGTTGTCATTAACAGACATAAACAAGTTCTAACTTCTTACACAGTGTTTATTCAGCATTACCCACCACTAAATAATGTTATAATACAAAGATGTTATTCTAATTTATTTCTTACCATCCAAGAATGAAAGTATTGACTGAAAGTCACTTTTTACAAGCTTTTTCCTTAAGTGGAACATGTCTAAGACAAGCGAATCAGCTGGAACATAAAGAAAATAAACAACTGTCATCGGTAAATGATAAAGGTCATTAAATATATTGCTTAACCTTTAAAACCTGTCAATAAATATTACTAATGAAAACAGTAGCTGCCCACATACTGAGAGTAAAATACATTATTTGAGAATATATTCATAGATCTGTATATTTAAAAGCTATGTAATATAGATGAGATCTTTTATTCATGTTGTTGCTAATATTTAGCAAGACATAGGTCTCCATGTCAAAGATAAGAACTTTAAAAAAGCACAATTTTGATGCCACAAATCCCGTATAACTGTTGAAAATATAAGCTACTTAGACATAAACTTGAAGACATAAAATTAGCCAATTATTTTTACAAAACAAAAACCACAATCACTGTTCTATATATAGCAAGAATAGAATCTGCACTTCATTTAAAGTGGCCATTACGGGAAATTAATGCTTATCATTAGAGCAAAGTAACCCAAAATGGTCAACATGTTCATCTCCTTATTTTGTTTATGGTAATAATTTCTTGAATTCAGAAACAGCAGCACATTTTGTCACACCCATGAAATAAAAAAATCCACAATAGTGGAATACCAGAGGCGAGAATAAGTAGCATTTTCTTTTTATACCGACTACTGTATACGGATGCAGACACTCCTGAGCAGCTACGGAAAAGTAACCGCCGCCTCACGGAGACCACGGCACCGTTAAACCGCGTACATAGTGATGCACATATGGAGCAAAGAACAGCCAAAGTAACTGAATTAATCGTGTTAGTGGGCAGGCAGCACCTTGTAAATAATGTCAGATATTATGCATTCCAGCCTCGAAGGTCAATACTTTGCGAAGGGACTGGCGACCATCTGTATGGTGTCAATCAATACGTCCAATAAAGCACGCCTGTCTTATGACTTTAACAAACTCAGTGTTAAACAAAGTACATGTCTTAATGTAATAGCGAAAAAAAGTTACTCAAAAAAAAACACTGAAAAGTAAGTGAATGTGCATAAGAAATTATTTTCATTGTAAGTAACTGTGATTTTTTTTATTGTCTTAAATTAATTTAAACACAATGCACTGTCTACTGGGGACAGACCTGGGCTATTAAGCTGTCTACACTTCACAGTGTAAGTTCAGTATGTTTTTGTTTCTTTAATCAAATGGACACTCCCAGGAGGGGACCCAACCCCCCCCCATCTCGATAACATGTTTTAAGGATTGTGTTTATCATTCACGGCTGATCACGCCACCCCAGACAGACAGGGGATCGATACCTGCCAGAGTGAGGCCTCCGCTGCCTTAAAATGCAAGTGATAAAACAGGGGAAGCGTTCAGAAGTTAAGGAAAAACAAAGGGAGGAATGCATGATTACAGAAACAACATCAGAAATGACAAAAATTATTCAGGTGAGTAAAATTTGTTCAAATAAACATTTAAGTCGCATATACCTAGTATAAATTTTAAAGAATGTTCAGTTTATTTGCTTAATCGATATATGACTTCATTTTCACCAATACAGGTACAGGGGTTTAACCATTCATACCAGCATGTGGATAACTTCCATCCATCCACCCATTCTCTGTAACCACTTGTGCTATTCAGGGTTGTGGGGGGTCCGGAGCCTATCCCAGAGGCTACGGGTGCAAGGCAGGGAACAACCCAGGATAGGGCATCGACCAATCACAGGGCACATTCACACACCATAAGGATAACTTGACTTTTTTTCCCCTATAAACAGGTGCATTACAATGAAATTAATATCTTAAATTAAAAAACAAGCAATCCATACATGTATACACGAAGACATACGGGATCCATTCTTCACAACAGAAGCCCAAATATTTGAATGGGATATGATTTACGTCTATGAGGTGGCCAGTGGCTAACATGACTTAGCAGTTTTTTGGCATACACTTCGTCTTCTCATGAAATCAATACAGAAATTTCCACATATTGATCGGCTGTTACAGAAATATGGCAACAAGCCTTGAATCAGCAATATTAAATACAGCATCAGAATGTTATTCATCCTTTCGGCAACGGACTGGCATCCTATACAGGGTGAAAGACAGACTGATGTTACTCATCATTTTATATAGTTATATTCAATGCAAGAAAACTTCAGATCAGCATCCAGTAAATATGAACAGTATTTACACGAAGCAGTAATGTGAGTAAATAACTTCAGAGTTCGATTCATGTTCCTCGCTAAGCACAATCCCCAGGTTAAGAACATACGTCTTAAGAACAACTCGTACTTACAAACAGACCTGCCATAAAAAACTATTATATAGAATTTGGGTTAAATACAGTGGTTTGTAATAACAAAAGCATGCACTACTTTGTGACGCTCATTAAATCATTGCGCTGCTTCAGCGGTTCATGCAGTTACTTTTATTATTACTGTTTAATTATTATTATTGTGTTTTGTATTATTATCTTTGTGGCTTTCCTACAATGTTGAGGTAAAGACAGACTTAAGGAACTGATCTGAACTCGTTCATAACCTGGGGGCTGTCTGACTATGGTTTCAGCTTTCTAATGATAAAATCAAACTGTTTATCGATCATCGGCTAACACGTTTTTTTGTTAAACTTCTTTGATCAAAATTTTAATGTGGTAAACACAACTTTTTGAAATATAATCATTGTATACGAGTCTTTTAGTCTCCGCTCCCTATAACCCTGATTAGGAAGTAGTTAGAAGATGGAAGGAAGTATGGGTGGATGGATGGATGAGTCAGATGTTACACAATGTTAGAGCATTTTTTTCCGAATTTCATGCTGAAGTCAAAGAGAACTGAATCTGCTGATGCAAAAGTTATCAGTAGTATCACAGTTTAGCATGACAACACCAATATTAAACAAGATTGCGGCAGTGGTGGCTTAATGGTTAGGGAAGCGCACTTGTAATTGAAAGATTGCTGGTTTGAATCCCTGACCAGCAAAGTATCACTGAGGTACCCTGAGCAAGGTACCGCCCCCAAGCG